GTGGAAACAGTGGAAGTGCCAGTAGAAGTGCCAGTGGAAGTGCCAGTGGAAGTGCTAGTGGATGTACCAGTAGAAGTGCCAGTTAAAGATTCGGTCGATGTACCAGTGGAAACAGTGGAAGTGCCAGTGGAAGTGCCGGTCGATATACTAGTGGAAACAGTGGAAGTACCAGTGGAAGCGCCAGTGGAAGCGCCAGTGGAAGTACCAGTAGAAGCGCCAGTCGAGATAGAAGTACTAGTGGAGGCGCCTGTTGAAGTACCAGTAGAAGCGCCAGTCGAAGTACCAGTGGAAGTACCAGTGGAAGTACCACTGGACGTACCAGAAGATGTAATAGTTGTGCTTGTAGCTGGGTCTGATCATTGTAAGTAAGAATCACCAAGGCCTTCTAGATTAGACTCACTCGTCGGAATAATGACAACCGGATTTTCACATAGATCTGACGTAAGATAAGCATAAACGAAACCATTGTTAAAGCAAAATCCTGCTGTATCTCTTAACTGTGCGAATATACCCACAACGTCCCAGACGGCAAACCCAGTGGGAAAATCCAAGAAGCGCTGGACTAAAGATGTGATGCGACTGGCAGTTCCAAGGAATCGGCCGTTTGAGAAGAAGGTCGTGCCGTCGTTGCCTCTAAACACCAAGGCTGCCAAGGATAGGTCGTCGACCACGATACCATTGTTGGAAGAGTCAAACCCTAGATACCCTACAACGGTCTCTCTAGCTCGGAGAGAGGCTGTCACAGGGGTTCCGCTGATTTGGAGGTAGAAACCTGATCCAGTGGGAGTGATGACAGTAGTAGAGGTGGTGCCGGTCGATGTGATGGTGCTAGAGGACGAGGAGGACGAACTGGTAGTCGCGGTGCTTCCAGATGATGAAGTGCTAGTCGCGGTGCTTCCAGATGATGAAGTGCTAGTCGCGGTGCTTTCAGAAGATGAAGTGCTAGTGGTGGCGCTGGTAGATAGAGATGTTGTGGACGCATTAGTCTGGCTGCTCGTTCCTGGAGATGTTGTAGATCTTGTTGTGCTTGTCTGGGTTCGGCCACTGGTCGAAGAGCTTCCTGACGAGGCTGTTGGAATCCAGTCTCGCCAGGCTTGGCCATCATTGCTAGGTTGGAACCAGCTCGCATCTCCTCCAGGAATAGGCCACCAGGCACTTCCTTCATTGTGGTGACTGCCACCGACCTGTGTTGGGACTGCAACTCTACGAGGGGGATCGGTAGATCGAGTGACATAAGGGACATGTATGTTGATAACCTTGGTAATGCGGACTTCGAAGTGAAAGCTGGTCGGTTTGGAGAAAGATTTTGTAACATAGGCATTCCATGGCTGTCCCGGGATAACTTGCACCAATGGCCTGACAGAGATCGAAGGCTGGCCATGGGCAGTCACAGTAACAGTAGTTGTGGCAGTAGTAGTGATGGCGGGGGCAAGTTGAGGAAAAGTCCAGGTGTAGATACCAGCCTTGGAGATTGTCCCTGCGCTCGAACAGAAAGCCTCAACGGTGCTAGAGGTAGATTGCTGTTCAATCCAAGTCTCGTACCATTCAGCACACTTGTGGGATTGAATACCTGATTTGCCACTGCGGAATCGGCATTCCATGATAGACACGAGCTGAGAACGAGTTCCGTCGTCTTGGACGCATTTGTGGCACAACCCACTGCCGTCAAAGCCAGGTATCGCAAGAGGACCAATTTCACTGAATGGTGCCACCGCACGTCTCGTTACCGTTTCATAGAGAGTAGTTTGTGTTGCTGTCTTTTGTCCACCGGCAAACCAGTCAAACCATACTCCGGGGCGTTGATGTATAGATGGAGCAGAGGTGACCTGGGTCAGGGTCTCGAGATGTTCAGAGACTCGGAAAGGCTGTTTAACGTCGGTTATGGTAGTCGTCTGCGTTGTCGTCCCATTCCAAGCGCAAGGGACAACAGTGGACACATAGGGATAAGTTGTGAAGGGGTAGATGGTCGAGCAATGGCCCTTCACACAAGCCGTCGTAGGTTTACAAGTAGATACTGGTTGGTATTGAGTAGAGACCGTGATGGGGGCATAGGTCAGCCCCGTGGCACTTGGACAAGGCTCAATAGTGGTCAACAAGCTCCCCGAGGCCCCGGCGAGGCTAAGAAATGCTGATAGCTTCATGATATGGATAGAAGGCCCTCCGTAGGAAAGCGAAGGTAGAGGGTTGTAGCGAACGACTGGAGGAGAAGGTAGCTGCTGAACAGGACATTCTAGATGGCTTCAAGAATGTTATATATGTGTGAGTCGAGCTCGGACAGTGCATCAACCCCTATCATGTTATGGACTATTCAACAGAAGGAGATGAATTTTTATTACCTCTTGTCAGATTCTCGTATTGAGAGATAGTGTTCGATTTGATCGCGCGTGCGGCCATGGATAGAGTGGACTTACCAATGCGATTGGAGAAGAATTGACGTGAAATTGGTCTTTATCAACTGAGCCTGTCGATTCATGTCATCTGTGTTTGCCTGAAGCATCTCAATATGATTCGAATACGTGAAGCAGATAGGAAATCAATCTTAGAGCGCGTATCGTATGGTTGAATTTGGCAAATTGCGAAGCTCGGGCAAGTCTTTCAGTTGGCAATCCCTGATAATGAAATTCCTCTAAATGGTAAGACGTCTTGCAACGTACCCAAGCGCTGCGACATCCTTCTAACTCAAGATGTGGGTTGAGGGTACCGTGTTGAGGCCTCCCAACGATCGCATGGAATGATCATGTCATTACAGAGTGGTCAGGACCCCTGATGCATAGCGCACTGTGCCATGCTGAAAATTCTGGTCAGTAAAGGTATTTGCGCCTGACCAGTGCTGATGACAGATAGGAGACTTGATGCCACCGCCAAACGGAAATTTACGACACGAGATAGTGTGTCGATGCTGAGAGAAGGAAGAGCGCGAGATTAAACGTGCCCTGGCCATGAACTTCTTTACCCTCTCATTCAGTGGTCAAAGAACCCAGAAGTCGTCAAGTTGAAGAGGCACAAGGTAATGTGATTGACCAGACTTATCCTTGAGATACAACCAAATAGAACCGACCAGGACGACAGTATGTGTGCTCAAACCTCGAGTTGCTCATTCAGGGTGTTCTGTACGTCAAACGAATACCAGTAGAGGCTAGACATATCCATTTCGGACAATCATTTGAGTCTCCTCAGCCACCAACGCCACACCTAGTTCGTCCTGAAGGCGAGAAGGTACTTTCTTCCACATTTGGTGGCTAATTTGTCAGCTGTCGGTGCCTCCAGGAGCCATCGGCGATTGCAGACCCGTGTTTCTGGCTTGTATCTGTACCCATGTATCCGAGGTTGGAGGTCTCGCAACACGACAGACATGGTGCATCTCTGAGATACCAAAAGATTCATACTTCCAACTCGGTTCGGCCAAGCGTGCCTCCAGACGTGTTTCTCTAATTAGGGTGGGAGCGTGGATGGATAGAGGATTCAACGTATAGATGATCTTCCTGATATCTGTGTCCTCACGAGAACGACGCTAACATAAGGTTTACACTACTCACCGAGACGTCAACACGGTGATATGGCTTGTGATGATCTTCATGGCTTACGTGAACTGTGCGGGGGTCTACTACGACCTGACTGGTCAACCCCCGTCTTGCAGACTTAGCCCAGCGGACCCATGGGTCGCTTTACAGCCTCGCAGCAACGGTTTATGTGCCTAAGTCTGCAGTCTGAGATGAGGTGATGTTGAAGCGAAGGGTCTGTGACTTGTTAACGTGCGTTTCTTGATTCGGTCGAACTTTGGGAGGGGGGTCCATCCCTGAGAATCCGAAAGTACAATAGGACATTTAACGGTAGCGCCATTTTCTACGTAAACAACGACGCTAACGAAAGTCTGTTCTGACAGCATGCCCGGCGGAAGTGCTTGCCGAGAGGCCCACAGCCCTTGTACATCTACCCCCGACCGGGGTTGGAATTCTGGGGGGGCTGAGACTGCTCTTCAAACGATGGAGGGTACCGAAAATTAAATGCCCCATTCTTCAAAGCTGTGGGCTTCCACGTCCTCGATGCATATCATGGCGCCCGATCTCAACTTTCTGCTTGTCGGAGAGCAATCTCATTCAAGCCCGAAGGAAAGAGCTAAATCGACATTCGTAGTTTTACTCTCAGCTGCTAGTCAATACATCTTCGTCGAAATCGTCTTCCTCCTCGTTCTCTTCTCAAAAGTCGCTGAGGCTGAACGGCGTCTATTTGTTCTTGTAGCCCGACATACAAAGGTATTGCTGCTTACAAAAGATTTCAATACGGTAGCCGTCGCAAAGCTCTCTGTGGAGCGACTGCTTTTCTCGAAAATGCTGCAAGTACATTCGTCGTGCAAATGTTCACTTGTGAGTTGCATGCTCCATTTGCAGGCTCGTCTTTGTTCTGTTGGAATGCACAAAAACCTTGCTTGTGAGGTTGCGGATCTAGAGCCTAGCTTTGTGAAACTCAAGGCCAGCTTGTTGTCGTAAGTTCAGGAACGTCGCTCGGAGGGTTGCAAAAGACGTAGTAGAATGAGATCTCTAAGACCTCTCGTGTTAAAAAGGCGTAACGGAGAGATAGAAAAGGAATCCCAGGGAATGAAGGAGGGGAAGCAATTCAGCCCAGTTCTGTGAGACTTGATGAGATTGCCACGTTTTCCAGGACAATTATGATCTCTCATAGAAAACGGCTTACACCTAGTGGTTCAGAGTTTGCCAATTCTGGGATAAGCATCCATTACAAAGACGAGTAGACAAAACCATTGTTGATCGCTCCATGGACAAACTTGCAAGATGGAGGAAGATGAATTATACACCCGAATCTGTTAAAAGAAGTCTCACGGATATAAATCATGGCGTGGCCAGATTCGAATGTTTAATGGCAGAAACGGGGACAAGCAGCATACCTCTCTTCGCATCCCACGGCATCTTCCTAAGGGGAATCGACCGTCGATGCCGGGAGGCGAGCATGAAGAAGTAGAGATGTGTCAGAAAGCCGACTTGAGCTCATTGACAGAAGACACTCAGGATACGGGGGAAGTTGGTCTTGTCAATCCTTTTTGAACAAGCGACTTGTTAAATGACTGGGTCGACGATATTTGCTATGTAGCCAAGCAACGTTCTTTCGTTCAAATACCTTGGACCAGTGTGCGATTCAGCACGACAGACATACAGTAGCTGCCACCCTCGCTGCTATTGTACTGGGGAAGGTTGTGGCTTTGCATCAAGCCCCAAACGTCCTTGTATGCTCACAATCAGGATATACTCTGTTCACATTGTGGTCCAGCCGAACAGTAGATTTGATGAACAACCGAATTTTCCTCACGAAGGAAAAGAAGCTTGACCGTGAACGGCTCCTGGGCAGTGATCAGTCAGAAACAATCAGGCAACATTCAGGAACAAAGATTCATCGAACTAGTCAATCGCTTACTGAAAATGAACGTCGGATCGATGTTAGTAGTTGATGCTCACTTGATCCTGGGACAATGACTCCAAACAGAAGGGACAGGGACCACCCTTGCGAAGGCATTCAGAGTGAAAAAGGATACCGTTGCATCCGTGGTGAGAAAGGCTGCACGGTGGATGGCACTCCTGCTTGCATTTACCACAGAGTGGCAAAGGAGAGCTTCGAAGAATACTTTGTCTGACTGGGGCAGTCAACACCCGCCCAAAGTTCAAAAAATGGTGCATTTGACACATATCTGTTCTATCGTCGATATGAAGTGATTTTGTAAGTCGCGTGGGAGGTAGCTAGCATTGCTCGTTGCAATGTTTCAAATTGAGAGACGCCTTTGATTTCAGCAGCGTACGTTGGCTGTCCCTTTATTTAACATATCGTGTCTGAGCAAGCACTTGAGCTGAAGAGATTGCTCAAGCCTCGTTTCATTTATCGCATCACGAAAGGCGGGTTTGCCTTCCACCTCAGGCAGCAATGTCATTGTGGTATGGAAATTCTATGGGACACTTCTTCATTCGCGGGTCATTGTGCGTCCTTGCTCGGCGAGCTGAAAGAGCAAGCTCCCCGGGCAGAAGCGATGTCCCTGATCGCACACCCATGTTACGGTCGACGTAAATGGTGCCCAAGGCTGAAATGGTCCTGGGATGTTTGACAACCTTCATGGAGCGCCACCATTTCCCCGTCACTCCAGGCTACACGACCGGGGTTGACTCGATGTGTTCCTCGAGAATTGATTGATACATTTGGCAAGTGTTTTGAATAAGACAATTTGTATATGGTGAAAGGTGAAAGCATTGGTGTTGCACAGCTACTAAACGGATCACCCGATGGGCTCCAAAAATGACATTGCCATGTATGGTTTGGACACTTTAGATGGGTGTACCATGCTGGAAGTGGCACAACCAGGGATTCTGAGAATACTCCTGAGAATGATATTGACCTGGTTGGCTGATAATGCCAGCTTCTTCTCTTTCGTCTGGCACTTTAATTTGATCTCGCCTCGCCAATGCACATTTCAACTTTAGGGGCCATCACAATTGCTTTCGGGGACCTTGCTGGAACGTCTGACCATTGAACTCTACGCCCATCCCTGGTAGCTTGGCGCTACTAGTCATACTTATGGTACCTTTATCATCCAACACATGACGACGAAAAAGGGTGAGGTGAGGTGGGGGTTGAGATGAGTCGATGTAAAAGCGGGCGTGGACGAGGTGATGAGTCGCACGTGAGCCGGGAGCAGTTTCCGTCACTTGTGGCGCCAAGAAAGTTCTACGGCTGAGTATTCACACATTGCCACATTTTTGTTTGGGAAACGGCGATCCGCATGTCCGCTCCTTCCCATTTCCGGAGTCAGAATTCTTGTCAACGTCAACTTCAACATCAACGTCGACTTCAACATCAACCTAGAATCTCATCAGCTCTTGAATAACCCGCACACATCACCAATCTATGCTGTGCTTCCACAACCTCCTGATAGAGCTAGCTGCTTAACTAGGTTTCATCCCTCTCCCTATGTGCTCAGGAGTCTGGTATTGTTCTTCTGATCATACATGGACAGTCTTCTTCAGAAGCATAGCCATCAGAGCATTGAACCATATGGACTGAGCGTGGAACATCTATCGGTTTTGGAAATTTCGCATCTGCCATTATAGAATGGCTATAGAGCAAAATTCCGGTCGAACGATACCTACACACAGGATTGACCCATCGACGACTATTCGACTGCCGGTCACTGGTAATGGCCTATCATTTGGACCCAACGACAGCCAGTGCAGGGGGTTTCTTTCATGTCCCCCACACCTATACCCCTACTCTTCCTTACCACGAGCGACGCCACTTCGACACCCCTCGCGTCCATGTCCCTCCCGCCGAAGTCGATTATCATGAGGGAAAGCCGTCTATTCAGATCACTCGTGCGAGGTTCAACCAGGTTTCTACGGCCTATGGATCACCGACCTTTATCAACTCTCTGGCCGCTTGCCATGAGCTTACCATGACCCATAACATGCTTTCATGGAAATATGAGATGCGCAGAGCTGCCCAACGTATCCTTCCATTTCTATCACTCGGTCCCAGCAGTGTTGCCCGGGATGTGCCTTATTTGAAGGCCGAGGGTGTCACTCTAATGATTGCGGTTCGCAGTCTGAAGGCCGTTGAAACCCGGCCTACCTTTCTCAATCCTACCACCTTCTCTGCCACTTCTGGCATTCCCACTCTAGCCTTTGATTTCGACTCAACCTACGACTTTATATCCGGGTTTCGTCCTATCATCAGACATATCAATGACCACCTCGAGGCTACCTGTACCACTGACCAAATCAAAAGCTCCCACGATATATCGGGCAGAGTATTGATCTTTTGCGAGTCAGGAAACGACAGATCCTCGCTTCTAGTAGCCGCCTACCTCATCGTCATTTATGGAGTGACAGCCTTTTCAGCCATTCAAATCGTCCAATCTCAGCGCTTCTGCATCAGCATGTCTGACGACATGAAGAACATTCTTGTCGATCTCCAACATATCGTCCAAGCTGAACGGAGTTCACCAACCCCCGAAACTTTTGAAGGGACCTTCTCTCGTGCCACCGAGTCTAGGTCTCCTCGAGGAAAGAAGCGAAACATCGAACAGCTTGACAGCGATGACGAGATGGAGGACGAACTTTATAGCGTTTCGGACGCGATCTCTAGAAAAGGGATTCCCCCGTTCGTCGATGCTGCGGACTGAGGCAAGTGCCGCACTGTCGACATTCTACTAGAGTGCTTCACTTCAGAGAAGACGCACAAGTCCATCCCAACTAGCCTTCCACACGATGTGAGAGTATGGCAACTTGTCATTGTAGTGCGGTTGGGTCGAAACCGTTGCTAAAAGATGGTATTCACAAAAGCCACAAAATTCCGATATTGTATGCACAAAGAACTTCTTATGTTTCGTTGCCAGCCTTTGTTTTGAAGCTATCTGGTAAGTGGCATCTGATTCCCAGGCGACTGTGGCACCCTAGCTGATCTTTAAGTGAGGCATTAGCAAGCTACTGAAGCAAACAATTCCAGTCACATCAGTCCTGGGTTGTGACAAGTCTGGTACTTAGCACAATTCACTGGTATTGTGCTGTCACGACATTAATTATCATGTGCTCAAGCAGCATTATTCTACCTGTTGTTTCAGTCCTGCACTTTATTCATCTTCCTTTTTGCCATCAAAATTTACACCGTGCTGTCCCAACCTCGAACTTTTGCCGATCTGATCTCACCATGCAACTCAGAAAGAGTGTTTGCAGGCCTGCACGGTTTGACGAAGACTACGATGTACAGGACACTCCTCGCCCCTCTACCAAGCCCGCATTTAGCAAGATGATGGAAGCCCGTATCATTCCTTTCAACCCAGATCATCCTCCGGCAGCATTTCCATCCCTCCCTATCAATGGATCAGTCACTCTTCCCGTGCCTGGCACCTGCAAAGAGATGCCATCATGGTCCACCATAAGATCTACAATGACTGCCTCAATCCCGTCAACAAGATACGCTGTGGAAGTTGTTCAACATTCAAATGTCTCTCCGACCTTAGAACAAATGCAGATGGATGTGAAATCATGGCCGTCTTTGCCAATATCCGTTCAGTATCATATCTACAAACGAATGTCGGTCCTTTATCGCGGCCAAAGCGTGTCAGATCTTCTAGGCCTGACAGATTTGCAATTCAATGACCTTCTAATGGCAGTACGGATCAGAGATGATATGCAGTTCACAGAGATGCAGCTCTGGAACCAATACGCTGGGATGTCTGCATTTGGCGATGGTGATATGGGTGCGGCAGGCCGTACCCGTGTCGAGGATTTGGGCAGTGAAATTCTGTCAGCACTCAGTCCGAGCAGTACAGTCCATTCTTTCACACACGCCCAAGACGCGCTTCGTTTCCATGGAACGGGTTCTGTTCAGTCAGCTCTCTGCTCTAGCCAGCTAAATGCATCCGTCCGGCTTCCCATTGATCCTCAAGTTCTCGCCCAGAACCTCGACCACCTCGCTTTGGCCAGCAGCTATGAGTTGGCGTACGAAGCAGAACTCAATCGAGCCGAACAATTTCTCAAAACTCGCAACATCTCTACTGCAGTCCTTGGAACATGGGTTCCAGACGCTGCACCAGGTGAAGAGAGTGAGTGTTTTACCTTCCTGTCCGAACAAGTTGCGGCACGTTTGGGCTGGTTGAACATACCTCCGACCACAGTGGAAGGTAAAGACTTTAGTTGTGTCCCATCGTGGAAGAGGGGATGGCCACCATGGCAACAGAGACAGCCAACTGATGACACCTCTCCTGTTGTGGATTGTCCATATAGCAGCAAAGTCTCTTCCCTATGCGGCTCCCCATCGCAATCAGGACGCGGAAAAAGCAGCGCACCCGCAAGTCTGACACGCAGTCCGCCACACTCTTTGACTATCGCGTCAACCCCGAAGAATAAACCTCTGCTTCCTTCGCCCGATTTTTCTCAATCGAACCTGCCAGAATCGGTTCCAAATGTTTCTTCAATCCCCCAGATACCCAAAAATGTCTCGACCCAGGATGAACATCAGGATTCAAATGGGGGCACTATTCTAGCCCAACCTGGGAGGCGGGAGACCGAGCGTCTGACACTGGAAAGCGATGAAGTCGAATATATTGATACTGTTACTCACCCCATTTCGCGGAGTTTTGCTCACTTGAGCTTCATGACACTCAAGTTCCACAATATTGCCGACTTCAGAAAAGTTGTCTTCACGTCGATCCGACCAAAAGTCTCAGAACTTGCGTCCTTGCCAACGACAGGAGAAGTCGAGACTCCCAAAACACCAGGGCGTCAAGTGCTGGAATCGTCGGGGGGCACGTTCGTCAGCCTTAAGTACACTCCGACTAGGTCGACAGATAGCACCCGGAAGATTAGTGGACCAGCACACGACTCTTCCCCCGCGAAGATAACCCCCTCTACACCTCCACCAAAGGAATACCCAGGAGATGCAGGTCAGGTGCAGGGCAAGGGGAAGGGAGAGGGGAAGAGAAAGATATCGGATATCGATGATTCTCCGCGCGAGATATCACCGCCTCCACGCCCGACAAAACTACTCAAGAAGTACACTTTCCCTCGCTCCTTTGACATTTCTCAGTTGACGACTCTGCTTCCTATGTCGCCACTGGTTCCTATCTCACTAAGCGGAGCCCGTCAAACAGTCGAATCTGAAGCCCAAACACAACCTGTTTCGACTGAGGCTACTACGACACTCAGCTGCCGTAGCAGGCCCCTCCCCACTGCGGCGTCCGCAAAAACTCCGTCTCCACCTTTGGACTTTGCTGCAGAACTCTTTACGCCTCTACGACGACCAACTTGGTCTCCAATCCCGGAGAACATGGATGATGCTGAAATGCAGGCATCTCTCGCGCGTGTTGCAGCTCCGATTCGTTTCAACACTATGACAGGTGTTGTTGACACAGAAGAGTCGAGATCTAAGTCGACGAATCAGAATGCTTAACCTGCTCAGTAACAAAGGAGCGACCTCGACGCTCTACTCTAGGCTACTTTGTGGGGATATGGCCGTTGCTCCAGAACGATATCAATCAAAACACCTGCAATACTTGGAGTCGAGGCATGCCGATGGAGATGGGCGCTGAAGATACACGAACCAGAACCGACAATGTTCTTGGTGTTCATGGCGGAGCCAGAGTTTTTGCATTGCCTCTCCTCCGGGTGGCTAGCTGGTAAAGGGCAACAATTTTAGTAGCTAGCTACCTAGCTAATTCAAGAGAATCACCTCTCCAAGAAGGTCGCAGTAAGGATAGACTTTCCTGTGCTGATTGTGACTTTGGGAGAAACACAAAGTGGTACTAATACCCAGACTGTTCTCTTCTTCCACCAGCGCCATCGCCATCTCCACTACCGCTACCGCCACCGCTACCGCTACCATTTCTACCTCCCTTCCCACCGGCACTTCCATCCGCGGGTTCAGGCTTCGCACTCGCCTCCTTGATCCCACCCTCGTCACCTCTTAGTTTCTCAAAATAGGCCTTGATATCATCCGCCGAAACCGCCTGACCACTTTCAGCATAAGGTTTGAGGAACTCCTTGACCTTGTCCCGCAGATGATTGTAGACCATGACCCCTTCAATGGCCTTGACTCGATCCATGCCAGATAAAGCCGCCTCTCCGCGATCGAGCAGACTCGCTGTTCCGTGTGACCGTGTCCCTGAATTTCGGTCACCTGCCTGTGACGCCTCCGAGTCGGATATACTCGGTTCGTAGATCTCCTCTTCTTCGATAAGTTGCTGGTGGGGAATTAATTGTGGGTAGCATTGCGGGCAGTGGCAGAGATGGTCGCGGAAGTCTTCTTTTGTGAAGATGGTGAAGGGTTCACTGGAGATGGGGCCTGCTGGGAGGAAGGCGTGTTTGGGTTGGTTTTCTGTGGGACTGGTGGAGATAAGTGCGTCTGTGGTGACGGATGTGAGTGTGGATGTCGGATTTCCTGTTGTTTCTAGATCTTCTTTGACTCGTTTTGACGGGCTTGCTGGGCCTGTGCCAGGGCCAGAGCCGAGGTCAGAGTCAGAGGCTTTTCGTTTCAAGGTGTTGGTATTGATGGTTGCTTGGGGTGACTTGTAAAAGACAGGTGCCAGGAATCCAGGCGTATTTGCGTATTTCTTGATCCATGGATTTGCTTCAACGCACTTGTAACATATCAAAAGATCAAAATCGTCCTCGGCCGGAAATCCTGGTGGAACTGGGTGACTGGGTTCGTCTTTCACCTCAGTGTCAGTATCTCCAGGAGGCTGCTTATCCTTCACGGATGTCTCGATTTTCTTGAACCAGTCTCTATCCAGTCCCATTAGACATTCTGGATGATACCAATCTTCACCACAGCCTCCAGTCTCCACAGTCCCGAGGCCTATGCACTGGTACATGGTTCCCTTCTCCGTGTGGGCGTCATACTCCTCTGCACAGGCGCAAAAACGATTCTGATAGTTATGGTTGTAGTGATTGCCCGGCGCGGGTTCTTGATCACTAACTCCTCGACGGCCTGTGGCAGGGTTCAACCTCAACATGCAGGATTGGCTAGATTGAATCCGTGATGTGCCGCAGTCGCATACGAAGTTTCGTCGATTGAATAATTCCACTAGCGTGTGTTCTCCATGGCAGGAGATGGAACAGGAATAGCAGACTCCAGCAGGCCGGTACTGTTGAGCAGGAGAAGCTGGAGGGGGGTTACAGGTCAGGCAAGCAAAAACGCTTTGGCGTAGAGGACCAAGGTCGTAGGTGCATTTGTCGAATTTCTGTGCAATTGTAAGAATAATGGTTGCGAGGATTGGAGGAGGTACTTTACATAAGGGAGGACTTCTTTTGCATCGGCTTCCAATGCTAGCTGTTCATTGATGAATCTTCAAAATGTATCAGTATTGTAATCAGCACAGGCGGAATAGAATGGCTCACTCTGAGGCGGTTTGCGATTCCTGTGTAGCCTGAGGGACAGAGGAGGGCTTGTGGTTGTCGGTGTCAGACGCCTGAAGGGAGGCCATGATTCCAGGTAGTACTCTGATCCAGCACGGAATGAACGAGCGGCAGTGAGGATGTCGACTGGATTAAAAGGCGTATAGGATGGACATATTGTATTACTGTTGATGTTGAGATGACAGATGGACGAAGTCGTAGGACAGGGAATCAATTGTCAGACGAGCAGGAAACTCGCTGAGTTTGCGGCACGAAGTCGCATGAGAATTGTGTATGACATGGGATTTCTGCCGAACTCAAGGACGCACCCTGTTTGGTTGGACAAATAGTCGCTCTTGCCAAAGAGGATGCAGCACTAGCGCGACGCGCCTTTGACGCGTTGGCCGAGTTCACGCGTAAAGTGGTTTTCAACCCTCGCCCTCAATTCTCAATGCAAAATGCAAGCTGCAACATTCATCACCCCTCGCTTGTCTCATCTTTCCACTATCGCAATTAGGCTAACCATCAACAATATAATTGCATCTGACAAAAGTGATTGAGATGAGGTATGTCTACATCTTCTGATTTCGGATTCCCCTTTCCACCACCAGCCACTGATACTTGGACACAGTTCACCACTTCGACCTAGCATGTCGGCGGCAAACAGACGACCAGACCATGCCAGCAGGCGGAAGCGCGTCAGAGATGACGAGGACGACATCATGTCATCTTCACCAGCACCAGGTTTGCCACCATGATACGCGACGAAGACGAAAATATCGCTGACCATTTAGCGCTGCCCTCTTCTCCCCCTTTATTACCCACCAACGAAAATGATGACATGGACGACGATGACCTTGACCCTGAGGACGACCTTATTGGAGATATTGACGATGCCGACGAGATGGCAGAAGACGAAGATGGCATCGACCTCTTTGGCGATAATTTCATGCAAGACGAGCGAGAAAGGCGAGAGCAAGAAACATATCAGGGGCGAATGATTGACGACGATGGCGAATACGACGAGCTAGATCCAGCTGCGAGGCGCCAGCTCGAAGCTCGTCTTAACAAGCGCGACAGAGAACTGGCCCGTCGCCGCCGGATGCCCGCAGCCTTCATGCCCGATGATGACGAAGATGCCGGCATTGACCTGACCAAACAACCCCGGAGACGCCGACATCATTATGATGAAGACGAAGACATGGATTTGGACGAAAACATTATGGAGGAAGAACTTTCTCTTGACACCCTGCAGGACGTCAAAGCCGCAAACATCACTGAATGGGTCACCTTGCCCTCGGTCATGAAGACCATTGCTCGCGAATTCAAATCCTTCCTCACCGAGTACATCGACGCGACAGGCACATCCGTCTATGGTACCAGAATTCGAACATTGGGTGAGGTCAACTCAGAGTCTCTTGAGGTCTCATACGATCATCTGTCGTCCACCAAAGCCATCCTTGCTTACTTCTTGGCCAACGCCCCGACTGAAATGCTCAAGATCTTCGACAAGGCCGCTTTCGAAGTTGTTCGCCTTCACTATCCCAACTACGAGCTGATCCATCCAGAGATTCATGTCAGAATTTCTGATCTCCCAGTTCACTACACTTTGCGACAACTTAGACAATCACACTTGAATTGCCTCGTTCGAGTTTCCGGTGTTGTCACTCGACGGACCGGTGTCTTCCCACAGCTGCAGATGGTCAAATTCACCTGTCAAAAATGTGGTGTCACGCTTGGTCCATTCGCTCAGGAGTCGACATCAGCAGAGGTCAAGCTGACCTTCTGCCAATTTTGCCAATCTCGAGGTCCATTCGCGCTAAATAGCGAGAAAACGGTGTACCGCAACTACCAAAAATTGACCCTGCAGGAGTCTCCAGGAACCGTGCCCGCTGGTCGATTGCCTCGTCATCGAGAAGTGGTGCTGTTGGCCGATTTGATCGACAAGGCCAAACCCGGCGAGGAGATTGAGGTCACTGCCATCTACCGCAACAACTACAGCGGCCAGCTCAACAACAAGAACGGCTTCCCTGTGTTTGCAACCATGCTCGAAGCAAACCATATTATCAAGACCCATGACCAACTTGCCGGTTTCAGACTTACAGATGAAGACGAGAGAAAAATTCGAGCACTTTCAAAAGATCCCAAGATTGTGGACAAGATCATCAAGTCAATTGCTCCTTCAATCTACGGACACTCCGATGTCAAGACTGCCGTTGCTCTCTCGCTCTTCGGAGGAGTCAGCAAAGAAGCACAAGGAAAGCACAAGATCCGTGGAGATATCAATGTTCTTCTACTTGGTGACCCTGGTACCGCAAAGTCGCAGGTATTGAAGTATGTTGAAAAGACTGCTCACCGAGCGGTCTTTGCTACGGGTCAAGGTGCGTCAGCTGTTGGTTTAACTGCTTCGGTTCGAAGAGATCCTTTGACGGCCGAATGGACTCTAGAGGGTGGTGCTTTGGTTCTGGCAGATCGAGGCACTTGTCTTATCGACGAATTCGACAAGATGAACGACCAGGACCGGACATCGATCCACGAAGCCATGGAACAGCAAACTATCTCCATCAGCAAAGCGGGCATTGTCACAACACTCCAAGCGCGATGTGCCATTGTCGCCGCGGCCAATCCTATCGGAGGGCGATACAACAGCACAATCCCCTTCAGCCAGAACGTCGAGTTGACAGAACCCATTTTGTCTCGTTTCGACATCCTTTGCGTGGTGAGAGACACCGCCGACCCTAGCGAGGATGAACGTCTTGCCAAGTTCGTGGTCAGCAGCCACGGACGAGCGCATCCATCCAAGTTGGCCGTCGATGCAGGCGACGTCGCGGCCATGGACGACGATGAAGGGGACTTGGTAAACAACGGTGAACCGGAGCAAGAGGATGCAATCCCACAAGAGCTTCTACGAAAGTATATTCTATACGCTCGGGAGATGTGCAGCCCCAAACTGTACCAGATTGATCAAGACAAGGTCGCCCGACTATTTGCCGACATGCGCCGAGAATCCCTTGCGACAGGTGCATATCCCATTACCGTGAGTTATCTATCTATATCATGTGTATGAGACGCGAACTCACGATATCACAGGTTCGTCATCTTGAAGCAATCATGAGAATGGCAGAGGCTTTTTGCAAGATGCGATTATCCGACTATTGCACTTCTGCAGATATTGATCGAGCCATTGCTGTCACAGTGGACTCATTTGTGGGCAGTCAGAAGCTCAGCTGCAAGAAAGCTCTGGCCAGGACGTTCGCCAAGTATGTTGAACCTAGACACCATGAGATCGCTTGAAGCTAACATTGTCGTCAGATATACACTGAAGCGACCAGATCGCCAGCGAACCCGCCCATCCAATGGAGCTCAGGCATGAGAGATCACTGGGTAATGATCTCAATGAGGAGGCTACATTGGGAGTTTGATGAAGTTATGATTTGTAGAGATCTTGCTAGGTCAGGGTATTCAGGGAATGGATGCACGCTTTGCGCATATCAACTGTACAAATACAAACAAAGTCCAAGGGTCGTAAATGCGCCATCAATGAGCAAACAGACACTCGACCTATCTTCTCGTGGGTGTATTGAGTATACCGAAGTGATGGTTGTGGAATTTTTGATTGGCGCGAAAATGACACGCGACGCGAAGGCCGAAAGGGCGCGTTCCTTCCGAAAACGTCAAATCGATGACGGAGTGGCAGGCGCGGCTGCGGCGATTCAGATCCAGGCATCCTCGCACAATTTTGTCCGCATGCACCAATCTTCTTCACTCATTTCCCCATCGTTGCCTGACTCATTCCTGGACTGTTGTCATCTTCATTCTAGTCTACTGTTGCATGCAGACTCCCCTTGTTATGACTCCACGAGCGTTCTAGAGTCAGAGCCTTCCAAAGTGGGTTTCATGGAGTAGTAATACTACCAGTCGATCTATTCTCTCGTTCATCTTCGCGCACCCTCACTTCATGCTTCACGACAAAGCAGCATCTGTCAAATATGGCTACTATATCGACGACCTCTGAGTCCGAAACGCCCGCCATGTCTACCGCAGAGAGCACCCCTCCTTCCTCCCCTCTGCAGGAGACTGATACAAAGATGGAGGCCGCGACAAACGGTGCTCTAGATCAGGAAACAGCGGTCAAGGAAGAGGACAAAATGGACATTGATGCAGAAGATGATGAAGACCTGGACCACAAATCTCGCGCGCTGACAAAGTTACTAAAGACAAGTTCCGTCTTTGTCGCAATCATGGCCGACAAGATGAAGGCTCAGCAAAAGGAGGCCCAGGAAAAAGCCAAAAGAGTTCAAGTGCGGAAGCAGAATGAAGAAGCCAGAGCCGTGCAAGGCAAAGGCCCATCTCGCAAGTCCACCAGGGCAACTGCCGCCGAAGCGGAGAAGAAGTCATCTGAACAAGAACAATCCAGCAAAAGGACTGGGAGGCGAGGAAGACCTGCTAAGAGCACGAACCTCGCGAAGAAAAGTATTACAGACTATTTCGATGCCGAGACCATTGAGATCGACCAGGAGGGTCCGTCCGTTCAAGAAGCCTTGGCTGAAGCAGCTGAAGAGTATGAAGGTGAAGGTCTCGGTGCTCAAGATCTTGTTGCTACTGAGCAACCCAAGCTAGTGACTGGTGGCAAGATGAAAGAGTACCAGCTTGAAGGCCTTGAGTGGCTCAAATCACTCTGGATGAACGGTCTTTGCGGCATTCTAGCGGACGAGATGGGTCTAGGCAAGACTTTGCAAGCCATTTCCATGATCGCATTTTTCAAAGAGCATAACATCTCCGGGCCATTCCTCATTGCAGCACCACTCAGCACCGTCCGCAATTGGGTGGAAGAGTTCAAACGATGGACCCCAAGTATCAACACAATCTTGTACCATGGTAGCAGGGATGAGCGTGATGCCATGCGACGAAAAAAGATGAAGATGGGTGATCAAAGTAAATTCGAGTTCCCCGTTGTGGTCACCAGCTACGAAATCTGCATGAACGACAAGAAGTTTCTCAGCAACTACCAATGGCGCTACATCATTGTGGACGAAGGTCATCGACTGAAGAACATGAACTGCAAACTCATCAAAGAGCTCATGTCGTACAATTCAGCCAATCGACTGCTCATTACTGGTACTCCACTCCAGAACAACATTGCAGAGTTGTGGTCATTACTCCATTTCCTGCTACCCGAGGTCTTCAATGATCTGGACAGCTTCGAGAAATGGTTTGACTTTTCGAGCGTAATCGAAGACAAAACCAACGCGGATGGCAAAAGTGTCAAAAGGAAGAACAATTTGGTCTCTACCATGCACGCAATTCTCAAACCATTTCTGCTAAGACGGGTCAAGACTGACGTCGAATCATCCTTGCCCAAAAAGAGAGAATACATTCTGTATGCCCCTTTGAGTGGAGAACAGAAAGATTTGTATCGAGAAATTCTGGCAGGAACATCCAGATCATACCTCGAGAACAAAGCTGTGGAGCGGATCGAGGCCCAGAGCCGATCTTCGTCCCTCAAACGAAAAGCCAACGGCAGTGGTCGATCAACTCCAGCCAAGAGCATCAAGCCCAGCCGAGATTCAACACCGTCCTCGGTAGTATCGGCAGGATCTCGACGAACAGGACGTAAGTCGACGAGGACAAACTATCGAGATATAACAGACCGAGAGTTTAACTCACGTCTCCGTCGCGTGGAACTTGGAGAAGAGGATGTCGACCTCGATCGAGCATCCCCGTCGGCCAATTCAAACGACATCTCTTCGGATGAAGCAGAGGAAGTCGAACGTGCAGCTACCCTCAAATTGGCAAAGAAGGAGATGTCGTCGAAGAAACTCCAGAATCCAGTGATGCAAGCCCGACTCGCATGTAACAGTCCGCACAATTTCTATTGGCCATGGAAACCAAGTACGGTAGCACAGGAAGAATCCGGTGATTTCCCTCAGGTCGATGAAAGCCTGGTCAGCGCATCTGGCAAGATACTTCTCCTCGACACGCTCCTCCCACGACTGTTCAAGTTAGGCCACAAGGTGTTGATCTTCAGCCAATTCAAGACGACACTCGACATTCTCGAGACATATGCGGTCGAACTCCGTGGATGGAAAGCATGTCGCATTGATGGATCTGTTGCACAAGAAACAAGGTACGAACAGATTACGAGTTTCAACACTGACAAGTCATTCAACTTGTTCCTGCTCTCGACACGTGCCGGCGGCCAGGGCATCAACCTTACTGCGGCCGACACGGTGATTCTTTTCGACTCGGACTGGAATCCACAACAAGATCTACAGGCGATGGATCGGGCACATCGAATCGGTCAGACCAAGCCCGTGATTGTGTATCGACTTGCCACCCGAGGCACTGTGGAAGAGACACTTTTGTTCAAAGCCGACAGCAAACGCAAGCTGGAGAAACTCGTCATTCAAAAAGGGAAATTCAAATCTCTTCTGTCGGACTCGCGTGCCCTCGGTCGCAACATGGACATGGATGAGATTAATGGTCTCTTTGCCAATGAAGAATTTGAAAAGTACGATGTGGTCGACAACGGTGATGGTGCTTTGGGCGGCAAGATTCTCAAGGAAGAGGAGCTGAAGATCCTCACCGATCGATCCGACAAGGCGTACGAGAGAGCAGAGAAGGGTCTTGATGTTGGTGGTGAAGGAACGGCGTTTAAAGTTGCAGAGACCAAACGGGAGGACGGGACGACAACGGATGTTTTGGCTGATTTCACCACAAAGAGCAAGTCTAACAAAGTTGAGTGATGATGAATCAGATGGCATCGATGGGGTTGGATGGATGATATTTTGTCGGCGCTGTGACTGGAGGAACCTTGTTACAGCGTGAATAGTTCCTTGAAATGGTTATCAAGCTATAGCGAAGGTGCTGGTGTATACTACGTGGCTGAGACTTGGTGTTGTGAATGGCTGTTGTTATTGACGATTGGCTAGTATCAGGTCAAGAGCCAAGAAATGTAACAATTGTATGAGAAAGGTGGTGCTTGTAGCGTGTTTTCAACATACCTAGTATTTAGGAACTACATCAAGGCATTCAGGCTAGAACAAGACACAGTATATAATAGATTCCAAGACAGCCTTCCAAGACCCATTCCAACAAACAAACATACATCTATCATGGAATTCTAGATATTCTTCACCAGAGCATGCATTGCATCCCAACTCCCTGATCACCATCCTCATTCTTCACCCCTCATTCCTCGTTACCTCGATTCAAATCCTTCTTCCCAATCCCCCTTCTTTTCCTCCACTCCCAAACTCCTTTATCCACCTCATCTCTGGAAACCCCATCCCTGACCAACCAAAACGTCACCCCCAACTCAGTCTCCACATTCCGATTCCTCGTCTCATCATCAAAGAACAACATGTCCTCATATGGAACCTCTGTACCGCGTTTCTTGAAAAACGCATACAACCGCTGGAAATGCGTGGTTTTATTTCCCGGAAAGATCTGAGGATGCGTGAAGAATGTCGACGCTTTTCGAAAAAACCGCTCTCCTCCATCTCCATCTCCCTTTCCAGAACTTCCCGAAATCTCAACTCCATCCTCACCCCCACCCTCTCCCGTCACCTTGTCCATAGTAACACTAAGGCTAGGAACATGTAATCCATTCAACATATCCCTCGCCAAATCCGGAGCATGAGTTCTCGACGCCAGACTCATTTCCACGCCCCGTTCTTTCGCTCCAGCCAGAATCCCTGGTATGTCGTCGTAGAATCCGTATTCCTCGCCCCATCGATCAAGCATTTTGGAATTGTATTGGCCGTTGGAACTGGCCGCCGGTTTCACGGGGCCGGTCACGTGTGTGTCGACCCAGAATGGCCATAGTGTGTAGTCGAGGTCGAAGACGATGAGACGAGGGAGAGGGAGCGTGTCGGTGAATGTAGATGGGATTGATGTTGGTGATAGGAGGGGGGGTGAAGTGGTGGTGGTGGGTTTTGTTTGGGTTGATTGTCGTTTGGGTTTGGGCATTATGGTGGTAGTGGCGGGGTTTGGTTATTTATGTTGGGCAAATGAAACTTGACTTAAGTAGATCAAAGTCCAAACAAGTCGAGAGAGAGAGAGAGAAAACGGTCTATACGTGTGTGCAAGTGACGACCACAGTAAGTCTTGTATTTCTATTGCAAAGAAAAGTAGAAAGCATCAAAAATGAGTCAGAAAAGAAGAACCAGCAACAAGGCTGAAATATATATCCCACTTGATTCACAGCTCCTGCCTGAAATGACGATATGATCGGAAATCTGCCTTGAAACAGGAACGTCACGTGGCGATAAGCCACATTGGGTATAGATCGACTCAACAATCAGTGCCAGGTTATTGGTTCATCTTAACCTCCAATATAAATTAATATATATTCTGTACTACAAGTCATTCCTCCTTCGACGCCATGTCAATAATTTCCTGGTATGGCCCTACCAATGCTTCTGAGGAACAACAGTACCAAACACTTCTTCTCACACGGTTCTTCCTTGTGAAATAAATTAGGTAGTCAACCATGCCTGTTCCCGAAGACATATATAAAATGGATGTCGACTTCACGAGTCTAGCGCTGAAATATCCGGAATTTGCTAAACGGTAAGTAAGAAAATGCCACAAACAACTAATAACCATTTTCATGTCATTTACCCTTCTGACATTCTGGTAGTCTGAAATCAAATCGTCAACTCGACTTTTCGGATCCAGAAAGTGTACGACAATTAACAAAATCACTTCTTCACCGCGATTTTAATCTCAAGATTGATTTACCAGATGATAGGCTTTGTCCGCCCGTGCCGAATAGGTATGTCATGTTTATTTGGTTATGGTTATGCTACAGTGAGGGGCCATGGTCAAGGCCAAGGCGAAGGTCCAGGTCCAGGTCTAGGTCCAGGTTTACAACCGGCTAACCAAACACCTCTCATTTCTTGTGTCTAGATTCAATTACATCCTCTTCATCCGTCGTTTACTAGCAAGCACTACACCTACACGCAAACCACGGAACTCAAAACCATCAATCTCAACCCCCAAACCACAACCACGACCAATCCTCCTTCTCGACATCGGCACCGGAGCCTCTGCCATCTATCCCCTCCTGGGAACCCAACAATACCCAAACTGGTACTTCCTCGCCACGGAACTCGACGCCAAATCCCGATCTTACGCCCTTCGTAATATTACTCAAAACTCCCTCTCCGGACGAATCAAACTCATCGACACCGACTCTAGCGGATCAATCCTAATCCCCGACTTGACACCGTACCTCCCTAAAAGATCCTCTGGATCTAAATTAACATCCACATCCAAACTCGACATCCTCCTCACCAACCCCCCCTTCTACACCTCCCCATCCGACCTCGCCTTCTCCGCCTCTTCCAAATCCCGCCCCCCAAACTCCAGCTGTACTGGCTCAGCCGTGGAAATGATCGTCGCGGGAGGTGAAGTCGGATTCGTGACACGATTAATCCGTGAATCGACCTTTCCTAGGAACAGGTCGAGGATTCGTTGGTTTAGCAGTATGTTAGGGAAATTGAGTTCAGTCGGACAAGTGGTTGAGGTGTTGAGGGAGAGAGGGTGTGGGAATTATGCGGTGACGGAATTTGTTCAGGGTCAGAAAACGAGGAGGTGGTGTGTGGCGTGGAGTTGGGGAGCGTGGAGGACGAGTTTAGATGTCGGGAGAGGAGGGGCCGGGAGGGGGGTGGATAGGGTGTATTTGCCGGTGGCGACGGAGGTGGATATAGGTATGGGTGTGGATATGGTGAGTCTGAAGATGGTGGTGGAGGAGGAGTTGAGGGGGTTGGGGGTGGAGGTTTGGAGGGATGATGATAGTGAGGATGATGATGATAATGGCAAGGGAATAGATTCGAAGATTTATTCTTGGCGTCTATTCAGTATTGATGGTGACGTCTGGAGTCGCAAAGCAAGGAGGATGAAACAACAGCAGCAACAGCTACAGCGAGAAAAGACTATCAATGATGATGGAGGAGCAGCAAAACAGATTGATCAAGTGATGAAGGATGCAGACCAAGAGGAAGATGATAGCGAAGAAGAAGAAGACGATGAAGATGAAGATGAAGACCAAAACTTTGGAAAAGATTCGCTCATGGTCAGAATCTCACTCCGGATATCATCATCAGTGGCAAATGTCCATATCCGTTGGATAAAAGGTCATGATGCATTGGTCTTTGAGAGTTTTTGTGGGTGGTTGAAGAGGAGACTTGATGGACGGGCGCGAGGCCCAGGAGCATGAAATGAAGTGAATATAATATGATGGGATTATAATTCTCCAAATAGGTACATCTTCATAGATGAGATATTCCAAAGAAGATTGGACAAGATTGGACTATGATTCATGGCTCATTACCAAAGAACTTTTCACATATCTCATCCTCATCACTGCGTGCACTACTCCTTGACCGCTTCTAATGCATCTGTCAACCTCTTCCATCCCTCACTTCCCTCCCAAGCCTTTGCCCGACCCAATACTCTCCTCCCTGCCGTTCTGGCTTTGAATCTCCACTTCGGTTCAACCAAACCACCAGTTCTCTCTCTTTCCATCGGACCAAGGTCTCGATATCTTTCAATCATCCAAATGGTCTTGTCCACAGCCCGATTCCATAACGATTCACTCACATTCTCGAATTCTTCAGACAATGAAATTGCTGTCAGGGTCAATCGCCAAGATTTCTCGGCCTGTGAGAGTGATTGTGAGGGTCGAAGACGCCATTGTGAAACATGAGACAAGATAGTGTACAGTTCCGGGTTGGATGTTGCGAGTGGAGTGATTTGGGTATCAATGAGTTGAAGGAGAGACCAGGGGACATGGGGAAGTTGCTTCGTCGCTGATGTTGGTGCAGAATCGTCCTTGCCTTCACTTTCTTCCCTTTCTTCCCCATCGCCAGAAGGATACGGGAAGCCATCAGTGATGTATCTGACCAGAACCTGCAATATCTTAATGTCGATTGCTCCTTCACCCTCACGTTTCCCACGTAACTCGACCACCCGACTCATAGCCTGAATGATCTCTCCCCAAGGAGTACCGGCGCTCGGAGGAATACTTGCTGCAACAGTGAGATAATTATCCCAGATTCTAGGATCATCTCGTTTCAAACCTGAGGCACGTCGAAGTGCACGAAGAGCGGCGTAGGTGTTTGCATAGGGATTCGGGGCGGCAGGAGTTGACGTTTGGAGCGGATCAGTTGACTGACCTTCCTCTTCATCATCATAGCGTTGGATATTTGACTGTTTGTCTTGTGATTGAGAGCTCGTGTCTTCTGGAACGAGAGGAGTCGGTAACTTGAGCAAAGCGATGGCCAAATTACTCCAGCTTTCTCCGTCGTCGTCTTCCAACTGAACACATCGGGTAAAACTCTCGACCGCACCGGCAAAGTCCTCCAGTTCGAGCTGAACACAACCCAAGGAGAACCAGCTAGATCGATCAAGTTTTGAAACGCCAAGGGCAAGCTTGTATGATTCTGCAGCAGAGGGAAAGTCTCGTTGTTTGGCATAGTGGCGGCCAAGCGAGCGTTGAGATCGAGCGTAACGATGTCCAGATGCATTCCAAGCAAGAGTGTAGTATGACGGAAGCGATGTGATGTCGCCAAGGATGGAAAGAAGGCGGGGCGTATCTGGGGGAAGAGGTGAGCGTAATTTTAATGTCTTTGTATCGTCATCTGTTGCTGTGTTGTCGTCCGGTGCAGTGACTTGCTCAAAGACAAGGTCCTTGATCAATTTGATAGCATCAGCTTCTCTGTCAGTTGCCGCTAGGCAAAGCGCAACCTCAGCATGCATTTGTAGGCGTTCATAAATCTCCAGTGCTGTTTTGAGACCTCCCATTGAAGTCCAGCGTGCCGCAAGCTCAGCCTCAAGTTCCCATCGATATGGGGGGGATATCTGATAGATGAATCTGAGACGTTCAGCGACAGACGCGGATTCCTTAGAGGAAGCCTTTGGCAGAAATGTCGTTGGTGCCGAGGTGGGGGCTGAAGCTGGCGCTGACAGTTTAATATCCGACGATGTCGAACGTGAGGAATCGTCTGTAGGAGGCTCAGACGTGACAGGAGAGGCATTGGACGTTTCTGATGTTTCTGCAATGACTTGATCGACCAGGGCCTGTAATTGCAAGAGACCTCTTTCCGTCGTCCGCGACTTGTAGCTCTCGATTCGACTTCGGACGAGCAGAGCCTGTGTGTACACCTGCCAGTTGGAGGATCCACCGTCAAGAACTCGAGTCGCATAAGGCAAGGTTTCTTCTCTTACGAGACCGTCCGCAGGAGAGGTGTTGGAAATACTACTAGCCGTAGCTAAAAGAATGATGCTGTCCATGGGAAACAAAAGAGGCTGATTTGCTGGATCGAGAGCAGCAAGTTGAGGTGGTAGGGCTGAATCAGGAGAGACAACATTTGTCAAGGTGTCTGCATGTACTGGTGCCAGTGTAGCCTTGAACTGAATGCGTTCGAGTAAGGTGTCATCATTGAGAGGGAGATCTTCAGGTTGTGTAGGAGGATTTGCAAGAGGAGAGAGGTGTTCGTGAAGATCCTTTGATCGAGTGGGAGTTGTTGGTGTGGTTGGTCGTAAGCTCGTTGTTGATGGTGATAGTGGGGGCGGACTTGAAGCCACTATGGGACTTTTGGGACGACCAGACAGTGGCCGAGAGTGTGAGTTGGATCTCGAATCTATGTCAGCACTTCCCTTTCTGGAGTCCATGCCTTCTGCCCTGCTGCTCTTTCTACTGCTGTAAGGCTCGGGCTCATGGTCTCGACTTTTGGCCAGTACAACGAGTTGACTGAGATCTCGATTTTGATACTTTGTGCGCTTTCCTAATGCGCCAGTCAAGATGAACTGGAAGTGTCTGGTAGTGGCGGCAAGTGCAAGGTCTTGTCGGGCCAAAGCACCGTCAGCGTAGTGTGTACGAATGACGGCGCGTTCGACCAGAAACTCGACAAAGTGTTCTTCGGCGGCAGCACCTCCAAAAGTAAGACGCGATTGCAGCTGGTGATGTAGGACATCCCCATCCGTGTAAAGCTGATCATGAAGAGAGGACGAAGCCTCGGCGAGCAACTTTTGATGCCAATAGTTGACTCTGAATCTTGCTCGTCGACCATTGAAGCCAGCTTCTGCCAATATGGGGTTAGACATGATGATTTGTGCCAGCCAGAATAACTCAATGTGTGGAGTCAAAGAGTATGGAGCTATGCCATCAATAGTGAGGGACTGCAGAAGTTCACTCTTCAGGGGCTCCAGGCCTTGACGACGATACGGCTCTGGGAAGACGGAGTGTTCGGAATTGAAATCCAACGGGGGACCAGTCGCATTAGCTTGTAAGAAAGCCTCGAGAGCAGTGTAGCCAATTTTGAGAAATGGAAGGTGGTTTGCCTGGTCTTGGAGGAGGAATTTCAATCTCGAGGTGACACCGGAAATGAAAGAAATCTCCTCTGCATGGATGGCTTCAAATCCGAGTAGTTTCCTGGTGAGTTGGTCTTGGAGAATTTCGAGAAACGACGAACCCATCTTGGGATATGGGAAAAGATGCTCCATGGCGACAAAACAAAGAGTAGACGAATGATCAGGTATGATTGGTCGTCGCCAGAACTGACATGGAACTTTCTTGGTGTCGATGGAGGCACCTATCTCGAGGCGATGGTTCCAGCAAGTCTGGTGATATGAACCATATTATCAGTTGCGCACCGCAAGAAGGTCCAGATAATGATTGAATTTCTCGTAATCAAGGTGTTGATGACGCTGGGAATTATCTGTGGCAATGGTCAAAACTGGAATGAGGAGAAGTCGGATTTAGAGTTTGACAGACAGTCAGGCGATCAAATGAGAAGAGTGGGTGGGTGAAGATCTTGGCCTGGAGTCTGGATGAATGTCTTTGGTCGAGGAAAAGTGGTGATTTAATGTATGGGTTGGATTTGGTGGATATACTGTATTGAGGGTTTTATAATCATAGGGCGAAGACATACAATATAGTTGTCTTTTGAATGCTTCACCTCGACAAGAATTTTTCGGCGACGGAGATTTGTAGAAGCGTTATACACTCTCCGACTGGTCGACTGAGATCTTTTGGACACCACAATCCAACTTGTCCAGGGTCAAAAGGTGGTGGATTGTCGAGGGTGGGATATATGTATGGATGTTTGTATGGATGGCGATCAAAAAATGCTGACTTGAAGCGGAGAAAAAAAACTCTAAGCGGGGAAGGCACGCGCACATCCAGCGACCAAAAATGGGAAACTGCGACCAGTGCTGCATTGACGCCACACGAAGGCCAGTCACGTGTTACACATCCATATACCTTTCATATCAAAATCACATCAATTTCCCTTGATTTGTTGCACCGGCTACTCATTGATTCCACTCCACTCTCCGGTGATCCAATGCCGCTGTAAGGATATTGTACAAAAATTCCATCGCGATGCTTCCAAAGACTTGGGTCACCCGGGTGGAGACCAAAGAGATATGTAGACAGAATGAACGAGGGTATCCAGGGCAAGGGTCTTGGTCAAGATAATACAAATCAATTGCACCAACAAACACCATCATGAACGACATCCAACACCACGCTTGCCTGAGCATTGCATCCAGATTTGCTGGTCATTTCCACTGGTTGATTTCCCTATTGGTCTCCCCCGTGACATGTTTTGTAAGCTGAGACGAGGATTCAACCATCATAGTTTCGCGCCTGTTCGGCCCATTGAAGCCGCCATTCTTTTTCTATAAGCATCTCTATATTTGATACGGCCCAATGTGCCAAAGCCGTACGCCAGGAAGAAAATAAATGTCCATGCGCCAGTGATGATCAAGCCCGTGGGAAAAATGCCGAGTGTCACTCCAGGCAATTTGTATGGAACAGCGATGGAGATGGCATCAGCGGCTGCTGCTGCCGTCACCAGAGACGGATTGAAATCACGGCTAAACTCGCCGATGACGAACCAAGCGCCGTCACCGGCGGTGATATTGGCAGAGACGGCCCGCTGGGATTCAGCCGTGTTGAGCTTGATGTCGGGTAACATCAATGACATGATCTGGGTGTCGTTGAGCTTTTTGAGGTCCAAGTCTTCGGCCAGGAACCCAAACAAGGTATATTGTTGAATCTCGAGCATCCCAACATTGGATTGTCGTGATTCCAGGTCTCGTTTCTTTTTGGTCAGGGACTGAAACATGGTCTTGCTGGGAAACTGCAGGCTGATCATAATATCGTTGACGCTGATGTTGGCAAATGATCCGCGAGGTTCAAAGGCCTGGTAGAGTCGGAGGTCGGCTTCGAAGGTGTGCGCGTCCTCGTCGAACTGGAGAATGTTGAAGCACGATGTGAGCCCGCCATCGTTTTCCACGCCGGTCAACGGCTCCAAAGCATCTATACACGCCTTTGCTATCGTCTCATTCAGCTCTGAAGGTGAGGACGTGACGCCGAGAAGACTGTTGTCCGATTGATCTTGTTCTTGCGGCGCTCTGCGAAGCATACTGGAGGCCCCCCTCTTCATGTCCTGCTCCAAGTCTCTCCGCGTGTGAAAATCAGAAAGGTGGATGACTGCTTTGGCGAGGATGGTGTCAGCTTCTACTAGAAGCAGCAAGGCTGAAGCGATCAGGCCGGTGATCTGCATGTTGGAAGAAACTCTGTAAAGTCGATGGCTGGTGGTGTCGCGGCGGTTCACGAGGCTATCTATCTGCCTGCCCGTCTGTCTGGTCGTCGAGACCGGTGCAGTGGCCCAAGAACAGCCTGGGATGGAAGGAATGTGATTGGCACGTCCAGCGACGCCAGGTGGTGAGGTGGTATAGGAAATGGGGAGGGACCTGCCTCTAGGCGTTGATGATGATGGAAGAAGAGGAAGAGAAGATCGCGTCCTACTAAGAGTGCTATGGGCAAGTGGTCAAAGTGCCTGATGAACCTGTGGGCTGGGCCAGTCAGGTAGTGGTTTGACCCATCAAACTCACCGTGTATGAGCACCCTGTCCTGTGTATGGTCCGGGATGGGGTTTGACACATGGTCGGTGCCAATGCTAGTGGTGGTTCGATGGTTCGAGGCTCCGTGGTCTGCTGTGACCAAAGGACGGGAGCTGGTGGTACGCTTTACCGAGGACTCGTGGGCACTGTACACCAAGTCTGTAACAGAATGGAGCAGTGGATATCTTCGTGAAACATGGAAGAGGTCTCACCTACCAGGGTGCATGCACCTGTTCTGGGATGATGTCGCAACACATCGAGCGACGCCGTCAAACGGTCCAACCAATCACCTGGGACAGCTGACAATGCATGCAGACAAACGAGGGAGAGTTGGACTGGACCACGGCTGCATCCAAGCTGACGATTCAAGATCAGCGTGGTGAGGACGCGACGACTGGAGGGGAATGCATTGACAATTGAAAGACTTGCAGCAAAACGTTTCCACACGGAGAAAATCTGATACACTTGAGGTGGAGAAATGAGGCAGGGGGGCACGGGGGCGTCCAAAGGAAGGTACGCGTGTGGTGCAAGGCGCAGGAGCGAGGGGAGGCTCTATTGGCCTCCAGGTCAGTTTCAAGCATTTAAGCTCGCCCCTACAGCATCTCGCTCCGGTGGCGTTGTGCCTATCGGTATAGCCAAAGCATCTTCTCCCTGGCCCCCTGCCACCCCTTTAGCCTCCGTTCTAGGCTTGGAAGCTCCTGAGAAATTCCTGGGCTTCTGTTTCTTGGACGGCTTTCTGGATTTTGGTGGCCTTTGACCCCTTGCCGCCAAGAGTCACCTTTTTGGTATCTGGGTCGTGCCTTCCTCAATTGCTTCACCAGGCACACCAGGGTTGGTCAGGTGACGCCTTCTCTGAGTGGTTTGACCAACCGCCGCCATACAGACTCGTGATGCTTTGGCCTACATACAGGGACATTTCCATCCATTGGAACTCGTCGTCTGTGCAATCTGACAACGTGCTATACAATTCTATCTTTGTACATCTTTTTCGTTGACCGTAGGACAAATAGCCGCGTGTGTATCTACACAGCCACGACTGCTTCTCGTGGGCGGCAAACAACATCGTCCAACCATTCCCAAGAACCAACTCCGCTTCAACCGCGCGGCACCTGATCCTCACTGGTCATGGCCAGACCATCTGGCGGATACTGGGACAAGATTAATCTCTGTACATTTGTACATACTCCTGGTGAGCCATGGTTAAAATTGGCATAACTCAATCTCTACGGAGTAGTAGTATTTACCACAGCAGATGCCGACCTTGCATTGCATCCACTTGTTGGGGACCATCTCGATCAGATCCATTTAATCCAATCATGATACAACATCCAACAGTTACTCCATCACGCTCCGTATGTACATTCATACAATAGTCAATTCTTGCCGGCCCGTGTCAATTCTCGAGTAACAATTGACGGACTCGTCACCAGCCCCAGGTGCTGGCCCTGACAAGCTGCAACAACCGCTGATTGAAATCCCACACACAAACACCATCTCAGACAAGCGAACACCCGTTAATCCCCCGACCCTTGGACCATCCGGAGGAACTTCCGCACTTTGCCCAGTTCCAGATTGTTGTCCTTCTGCTCGCTGATGACTGCTTGCACAAGCCCATCCAGAAGGTCGTCCACCTGGTCTGGGTTGGCGCCGGTGCATAATGTCACCATCTTGCGATATCGCTCCTCCAGCTCCACACTCATCGCCTTCAGTGTCCTGGCCATCTGCTCAAGCTGTTGATTGTGGCCTTGATATGCCCGACTTCGTCCAGACAGAACCTCTGCACGTTCCATTGTTCCCAGCACATTCAATTGGTCTTGGTCGAGTGCCATCGTGTTTGGCTCGCCCAATTCCTCAGGGAACATTTGCGCTACCAGTGCCAGTCGTCCGTCACAGTCGAGCCCTTTGTCCGCAGTGCCCACGGGGACCTCATTCTGGATCGAGCCTGCGGCTTCGCCTTGCTGCAGCTCTGACCGTATTTTAATCGTTGCTTGTTGAAGGTTGCTAACCTTTTGTTCAAACTCATCCTTTTCTCGCACCTTGGCCTTGACCTCGTCCAACCGACGGCGTTCTTCTGCCAATGTACTTCCTGACTCTTTGAGCGCAGCATTCGTCTTGTCGAGCGTCTCTTTCTTTTCCTTCATTTCTGCCGAAAAGTCCGCTTCTGATTGTGACAGGATCGCTCGTATTGCTGTCATGGTTAGCAAACACTCTGCCCAGCGAATCTCAAGCATGGTACTTACAAGACATGAGCCCTTCCTGTGCCTCCTCAAATGACTTCTGCGAACTGCTGTTTGTCGCAGGTACCTGATCAAGCATATTCATGGTGTGGTTCATCATCTGTGAGCCACCGTATCCACCCACTCCAAAGTCTACCGGCGCCAGGTGCCCTCTGTTGGGCTTGTGAGGATCGGCACCCACCTCGAGCAGCTGCTCGATGATGGTGGTAGTACCTGTCCGTGCCGCCAGGTTCAATGCCGTATCTCCAGACTTGTCCTGGGCGTTGACAATCTCTTGCATGAACCGCGTCAGTGTCATGGGGTTGGCAAACGGTGCCTGTACTTGTGACGAGCTGCCCTGCTGAACACAATATGCAAGTAATGATTCCAAATAGTATCTGCCCACCGGCGCTCGACCTCTGATGGCTGATGACACGGCGATGTGATGCAACAGCGTCCGACCTCTTGAGTCTCGAACCTCGATCGTCGAACCGAGAAGGTCCAACAGCGCGGGGAAGCTGCTCTGGTCCAGATTATTCCTGGCACGGCATGCCGCAATCAGAGCCGTTTCACCTCCACTGTTGGCCCGCCGCATATTGAAGCCCTTGTCGAGCAGTTTCTTCACCAGTGCCGTCCGTCCCAACGTCGCCGCCCAATGTAGCGCCGTGTTGCACGATTCGTCAATGGGCATTTCAAACTCGTCCCCGCTGAGACGGAGGAAGGCCGGATGATCGTCGTAGTCGGTCCGCGTAGCATCGTAAAAGAGGTCTAGCAAGTGCTCCTTCTTTTGTTCTTCCGCCAGCCCAGAGGGATGTGGCAAGGGATCGATGCCATACGAAATATTCTCCGTCATCATAAACGACTGACCAGACTGGGAGTAGAATGACATGTCCTGCTCCGTTGGTGCGCCTTCCATCATACTCAGATCCAGATTTCCATCGTACGTATTGCCTGTAAATGATGCCTGGGGAGAGGGACGGATGCGTTTGCGCGGTGGCTCTTGACCATCCGGCACTGGATAACTCATGAAGCTGGCGTTTTGGCTCATGATTCCACCGTTGGTACCGAAGCTGTCCTGCGATGTCATACTATGCATGCTTTGTTGGCTTGCCCCCTGACCAAACATGGGGTCTTGTGCGTAGAAAGCCTGGGGCTGGGATGGTCGTCGGGGGCCTGTCGAGCGACGGCCGTCCATCTGACCAGGGGAATCGAGTCGGGTGCGATTGAGTGTACTGATGGCAATCGCGGCCGAAGGAGACATGTTCCCGAAGAAGGTTCCCGACGAGTTCTGAGCCATAGGACGCCCGTCGCCGTACAGTCGCTTGCGCTGCGCAGCCATGGCTTGTTCTTTGGTGGGAGTTTCCATACCCTGGGACATGCCCATGTTGCCGTCGCCTTCAATATTGTGCTGGAACAGGGGTAGGAGTAACTGTTCAACTCCATACTGACGAGCGAATTCGCGTCCACGCTGATAATTCACCCAAGTGCCCTGATATTTGCCGTACCCGCCCTGGACTTTCTCGTGTTCTCCGGTAATCTCTTTTTCGAGTACCTTTGTGCGCTTGCCCTTGTCGACGCCTGCAACTTTGAGGATCTGGGTCGCGTTCAACCATGAGTCGGTTCTTCGACGCATCACAGCAACACCATTCACCTCCATTTCAAACACGGAAACATTGGAATACACGGCGCTGTAAATGGATGGCGGCTTTGTGCCATTTCCATAAAATGTTGGTTGAGGGTATAAATTATTCTCGGGGTATCCTGCAAATGTGTCGGGGGCTCCCATCATACCTGTTCCATTGGCCATGGGCTTTTGACCATTCATGTTGAAACTCATCTGCTGCTGCTGCTGCTGTTGTTGTTGATGATGCTGATGCTGGGAGCTAGGTCGGGGAGCCTGCGGCGTAGGAGCTGGGGTAGAAGCGACGGATTGAGCATCAAAAGAGCTCATCTGAGGGGCTTGAGGAAAGGAACCGTTCAGTGAACTGGAATGACCATGTTGTGGAAAGGAGGGGGGTGGCTGCGCATAGACAGGTTGCTGAACGCCGCCTGACGCCATCATAGTGAATACAAGAGAGGAGGTGTTGGTAGTGTTACAGGTCAGGACATGTTCAAGCGCTGACTGCGCAACTTCCTTGATGTTGAGTGATCAGGGGTTGTGCGGGTGGTGAGGTGAGGATCGCGGAGCTTGGACTGGTGGAGATCGTTCGATGGGTTGAGGGGGGCTCAGGATGGCTCAAGGACAGCTAACAAGTCAATGCGGTGTATAGGTTATTTCTGTACTGACTAGACTTGAGGCTCAAGTTGCGATGAACCTAGGTCATGCCCGGGGTAGATGTTTGGTGATGATAGTAGGAGCCGGCGATTGAACGGACGAGGGTTGGGGTCAAAGACGCTAACTAGTGCGATGGCCTTGTTATGTAGGATCAGTGAACGAGGATGTAGGAGGAGTGTCAGGCAGCACTAAATCGAGCCTTGAATAGTGAAGACAGAATGATCATGACACACTGGTCAGCGACAGTAAACAAACGAGTTGGTGAATTGAGTGACGATGGCATTCACAGACACTCACGACGCGCACGGAGCCTTGAAGATTTGGTGGGTGAAGCGAGTTTGCAGCCAGAGTCGCGTGGTGGCAGGTGGCACGCCTACACTGGTTGCGCCTGCCGTTAAAGTGGGCAGACTCAGTACGAAGTAGTGGCCAAGGGAAGGCGCGAGGGGTGAAATGGCAGCCACAGAGTCAAATTGAGTGCAGGCGGGAAGGTGGGGAACTGTCTTGTCACGCTCCTTCCCTCTGGCCAAAAGCGCGTCGACGCGTCGAAGTCTTGGCATTTTTCTAGTGCGTGTGTTAGTGGCAGATAGTTCTCCATTCAACCATTTAACCACTTAAACTACCACATCTTCCTTATGGCAGCAAGGAGCCTCATCTATCGAGATATACTCCTCAACGACTTTAGTCCTGCTCCCCTCTATGCAAAAGCACCCACTACAGACATGGCAGCGGCTGTAATTGATTAGCTAGATTTCCGGTATTATTGCTGTTGATGATTCCTCACCTCCTAATAGCACAAAGATAAAGGCATGGATTCTTGTTGGCTTGTCCATCAACTCCATGGCTTCTTCAGACAAGAAATCTTCAGCCAGGAGGTCGACCAGGGCCGCATAAATCAGGAGCCCAGATGAACTGTGGTCAGGTCAGATAAGTGGTCAAAGAATACATACTATCGTCCACACTTACAAAGCATTGAAGAAACCAACCAAGATCAATGCGAATGCGCTACTTTGGTCGTAGGTGTCTCGCGTCACCAATCCAATAACCTGTCCAATTGGGCATGTGAGCCCGAATGCACATACTAGCACCCAAGGCTTTGCAGCTTTGGGCTTGTAGGGAACCTCAGCAATCCGGCTGCCAAGACCAAGTCCTTCAAAGAACTGGTGGAAGATGATCGCAACAAGCAGCGCGATGAAGCCATTGGTGGTGATGGAAATTGTCATGCCCACGAAGATGCTGTGGAACAAGATCCCCGCCTCGAGCAAGGTGATATTCAAGTTCATCTTCTTGAATTGCGCCGAGTCAATGTCGTTGCCAGCTTCCAGGTTATCATCAAGCTCGGAAAATCCCTTGATCGAGCCCTCTGCCTGTGAGACGCTTGGAGTCGGAGCCCCGAGTCCCGCCGTGGATTTTGCAAGCACAGAAATCATCTCCTGCATTTCTTCGCGTTGACGGACGTACTGGGAATAAAAGACCTGAAACCACGGTGGCATTTCAGAGCCATATGAGTCTCTCTCCATCTCTGGCTCCTCCTCGTGACCAGAATTGAATCTGTGAACGTCAGTCTGCTGCTCTCCGAAGATTTCATGGACAAACCTTTCGAATGGCTTCTCTCGATACAAATTGTTATATTCCACGTTCGATCTCTGACTGTCATAGGGTGGGAGCGCCGTGGTGGTAGTGCTCACTGATGATTTCTGACCATGGCTATGCTCAGTCGAATGATCGTGAGTTGTCCTTTTGGCTTGTCCTGTTGGGCCTCCGTGAGAGTGTCCGCCAACCTTGGCTTTCAGGTACATTTCAATTGTAAAGAGGCAGAACAGGGAGAACATCATGATGACGCCTGGCATAGCAGGATAGTCCTCAACCAGTATGTCGGGCAGGCATGGATCGTTCAGGGATGCGAAAGCGGTAGGTACAAGCTGTGGTCAAATGAGCTAAAAGATCATACCCAGGTTGTGGATGCTCATACATGAACAAAGGCGGTTGCAATGAGAACTCCAGTCCCAAAGTGCTTGCACGAGAAAAACAGCCTTGGAGGAATCCTCAGCCATTTCACCTTTTTAGAAATCACAGGAAACCCAGCCCCTGTTAGATGGTATCAGTCATCTGTTGAAGCTGGCGGAGGGCGTCACCTGACCTGCAGTACTGGCGAAGAAAACGATGACTAGGCCTTGTCAGCATCGAAAAGGCAGAACAAAGCTGGGAGAGTACTGACAGATGGCACCAAGATGCAAGGGAAAGTCGTATGAATCTGGATCAAATGCTCTTCCTCCGCATTGAGGCTTTGGATCAACGTCAGCCATTCTCGGCTGCCTCTGCTAGATGAATTTAACTAAGCCACAGGAAAAATGACGCCGTGACTAGAGGTCCAGCCTCTAACAACCAACGCAAAAGGGAAGCACAACAAAAATCGCCGCGAGTACCTGCCTCTAGAAAAAAACAGAACGAAGGTAAAAAAAAAGCCCAAAGTTAGAGGACCTGCCTCTGCAGTATATGCTCGAGATGCACATAACAAGTGGCCGTCAAATCATTTGTATACTCCTGTGAAGCGATGATCTTTGCCAAGGATCGACTTCAGGGTTATCAGATGGGTGGACTCGCATGAGACACCCGCTACCGATAGGGAGGGGATCAACTCTAGGAGGGCCACTCAAGGCGAGGGGCATGGTGCTTTCCTTGTCTGACATCCATGAGACTGCAAATGCTGGCGATGCAATTCTGCTATGGTAGAATGGGACTGCTTTCTGGGATCCAACCTTTGTCACCATAGATTCCATTTGCGGGAAATGGACTCTTGGTTTGGGCTCAAACATCATTTCCAAATCGGAGTGCCAAGCAAGGCAGTGCTTGTTCGAGATCTTCTTTTCAGATCAACAGTCGTCCCCACAAAGGATACCTGGTACAACGGGCACGCTATGGGTCCTGTCGATGATAGCTAAACCTAGCAATTGTTGACGGCTGAATAACTGGGCAACAGTATCCCCAGGAATTATGCGTAGAAGTCAGATAATTCAGAGATAGCCATGTAGATACTTCATGAAGATCTACTGGCCGACAGAAACATTCGTGGGAGATCCGGAACGGTGAGACGAATCTAGAGAGCTAGGGAAATGTGATATCGCGGACGGTCAATGTTCAATGGTCTAGTGTACCCAAAGAACTGTGGCGGGTATGGGGTAAGAAGCGTGTCCGTTTGAAATGCAAAGACTCTGAATCAAACGCTTTGAGCTTGTCATAACATTCCTGGTCCCCGGAGACCCTACCTGCTTATCGACTTCTGTTTTCATTCTATCAACATCTCCACATGCCTCATATAGGAAGACTACGATGGAGACAAGCAATATTGCCAAGTCCGCTAAGGCCCCATAGTATCGCCTCATCAGTCTCATCAGTCTCATCCAGGTCTCGTAAGGCTTTTTCAAACAGGGGTTGACAAATCTTGCCGGCGTTCACCCAGGGGTTTGTTTGGGCATTCAGATATGAACCCACATCATGGCAGATGGTTAGGAAATGATCTACTTTGTTCCGGTCTACATATCTGAGGAACCTTCGGTTTTTGACGCCGATCTGCCTACCAGTGTTATGTATGCCAGACACAGACAAGCTTCTCATCTTGATTGAAACTCCGACGCATTGTTGAGGCTTAAAGGCGGACCAGAGAACAGAGGATGTCAAGGAAGACAGCTGTTGCGTCAAGAACCTGTGGGCAAACAGATAAATGCTTGTTCTCACCTTCACTCCGGAGAGCCCACAGTACATAATGAGATGGGATCCCCCCACCCGAGTTTCTCTCATTCCGCGCCGATAATGGTAGGTCATAATGTTTTATTCTGGATGTCGAGGGTCGAACTGTACCCTTGAATTGAAGAGAGGTCACTAAAGTCTACACCGCACATAAAGGTAGACATTAGGTTATCCTATGTGCGTCATACCAGTGCGTCGCGGATCGCCACTACTTTGTTGAACGATGTAGCATTTGGAACCTCCGCACTTAATTGGCTACATTGCAGGCAGAAAGAACTTGATCAACTTAATAATCCCCATGACTATGAATACACTTTCAGAAGATATTGTCTGCCCAGATCGTCGAACAAGCTTCAAAACACCAAACACACGAACGAGAGTTTCCGAGCTGTATGACTATCTCCTATGAAGACACAGAAACAGTTCACTTTTGAGAGATGGATTCATTATCACTCCAATTTGACCATGAACTGGATTTGGAGACCATCATCACTCCGTGGAAATTACCACCCCAAGACATATACATATTCACCAACGCCAACGTCATTGATCCCGTCGATGGAAGCATTCAACACAACGCCACAGTTCGACTAGCTGGAGGAGTGGTGGATTCGGTACTTCAAGCAAAGCCAGCGGACCGGAAACAAGAAGAGGAGAATGTGACCTGCATTGATCTGGAGGGAAAGTACATCTTACCTGGGCTGTGGGATTGCCATGTCCATTTGCTTGCCGTGCAAGGGTTCACTCACTTTGACGATATACTGAACATGACACCAGGAACAGGCATCCTTCGTCAGCCTGAGATCGGTCAGGCCATGCTCGATCGGGGATTCACTACAGTGAGAGACTGCGGAGGTGCACTACTCCCAATTAAAAAGGCTTTCGAAGATGGAGTATTCCCGGGTCCTCGACTATTCATTTCTGGTCGCCAATTGACACAAAGTGGAGGATCTGGTGATAAACGGGACGCGAACGACGAGAGTGAGTGTTGCGGCGGGGCGAAACAGCTGGCCTGTCGAATTGTCGATGGCGTGCCTGAGTGTTTGAAATTTGCTCGAGAAGAGATACGACTCGGGTCAGATTTCATCAAGATTATGGCCGGCGGCGCAGTCTCAAGCGGATCTGGTGCTTTGAGAGACATCAATTTTACACCAGAGGAGATCAGGGCCATCGCCGCGGTAGCTTCCAACGTCGGCACCTTTGTCACCGCCCACGCCTACACACCGGATGTTATACGACAAGCTGTCGAGAACGGCTGCCTAGGAATCGAGCATGGCAATTTCTTGGACACACCTACGGCTGAGTTGATGGCGCAGAAAGGCGTGTATCTGACCCCAACGCTAGTAGCATATGCTTGCTGCAAGATACCCGGATTCGATACTTTTATCAGCCCAGAATCGATGAAGAAACTTGGTGTCGTTTTGGAGGCAGGCCTTCAGTCCATTCAGGTCGCCAAAGAAGCGGGAGTCACTATTTGTTTCGGCACTGATCTCCTAGGCCCGACGCATTTCGCTCAGACAAAAGAGTTCCAGATTCGAAAGGCTGTGCAGTCACCTCTTGAGATAATCCAAAGCGCGACTGTCAATCCAGCTCGAATGATGAAGCGTCAGGATGATCTCGGTCGAGTTGCTCCGGGTTATATTGCCGACCTCCTTATTCTCAATTCAAATCCGTTGGGAGATATCACCGTTCTAGACCGGCCAGATCAACACTTGCTCGCAGTGTTCAAAGAGGGGAGAGTCATGACTTCGCGGTGGTCAAAACTTCAAGTGAGAAGTCGTCGACCCAAAAATATCATGTAGGGTCCCGCATTGTGTCTTTCCAACTCTTTCTTACAAAGAAACGACTTTTTCAACATCGAGTGAGAGTTTCCTGGGGGCGTCACTGCGATGCTAGTAATATACATTCCGAATAGGGAGGGTGTGATACGTAGTATATATTTCCACATATTGCTGGGCGGTAGCTCTGATATAAATGCTGGCGACGCGCTGGTCCCCAGAGGCCATCGTCCATGCGGTAATGACTGATGACCTCTGTTATCCCCTAATCGAACCTTGCCTTGTAGCTCCTGAATCTCCATCAGCTGAAAATCGCCTCATGCTCTCGAACTTGGCATCACGACGAGTCTGCCAAAAGCCCTCGAATTGACAGGACGCCAACACGGCACAGTTCTTTCCTTTTCCCTCTTATCATCCAGTATATCATTCCCTTCCCTGTCTTCAAAGTCAAGCAGTTGGATGGTGCTTTTCCGTTGTTGCCCAGGACCGACGGGTGGCTACACCGGGTCTAGAACGGGAAGACAGAGTAACTAGAATACTGGTCTATGTGAGCATCGCGATTATATTCTCATTCTGTGTTACTTGGCATGATACAGTGAACAGATAGTGAAGTTAGAGCCTCCCCGTGACACATCAGCCAGTCCTGGCACGTTTGGCTGAAGAGTGAGAGTGATTCAATCGAGAGTGTCATCAGGTTCCTGTGCAAGCATGACATTGGGAGACTAAGCTGATGGCAGCAGTATCGCCTAGAGCGTTAGTCGACGGCAAAGTTACTACTATACTAATCACTCGTAGCCTACAGGGGATCAATGATACATCTATACCTCCTATATTGCTATAGGATTGAATTTGATTACCCCTCCGAACCCGACGAGTAAGTAACTCAGTGATCAACAACATATAACCCTACTTGTTTAAATCAAAATATGTGAGCCTGGACTTTTGTGTAATGCCCACCTTTACATCCAGATATTTTTCAGCAGCCATTCCACAAATGCCAAGACTAGAGCAGCAGAGATAGCCGGCGTAGCCGCAACGAATGTGTAGGCGGAATAGCATCACACTGCCAAGCATTGATGATCGTGCGGAGCTCCAGAAACTGATATTGTGTCCGGACTTTTCGGTTGTAGAACCGGTTGTATAAGCGCTGTTGGACGCAGCTGATTACGCCGAGACGGCCCCCTCGGCAATGAGGGTGTGAGCCCCGATCTACCCCCAATGGGGTCTCCACGCTGGTAGACCTAAGTCCCCAAAGTCGTTTGGTTAGTGCAATGCGGATTTATGGGGTATAGTGATGGAGTCAATAGGATATATAAAGATAGGGTTTCGCTTGTTGAATATATGTGATCTCACCCCTTTTCATCATATCTGTTCAAGAGGAACTCGCTTGCTACTATGGCTGTCGATCAGAAGTATACAAACGACGGTGCTGAGCACCTCTCCACAACTGATCTCAAGGCAAACGTTGCCTTGAACGATTTCCACGAAGCAGCGGAACACGGTCGCACTGCTACAGATAAGTGAGTGTGCCAAAATCTCCAGCTCGTTGATAAGCCGTAGTAAATTCTAACAACTCATCAAGCTATGGAAACGTCACCGTTACGTTCGACGCCGACGCAGAGAAGCGTTTACGACACAAAATTGACCGATATATTGCCCCCAACGCAATGATCATCTATCTCCTCTGTTTCCTCGACCGAATCAACATAGGTACAGTCTCTTTGGTCTACAGTCCCCACAATGTCGAGTCACAACGGCTAACAGCTCCAAGGGAATGCACGGATTGCCAATCTAGAAGCGGACCTCGACATGCATGGGCTTGATTACAACAGACTACTAGCCATCTTTTTCGTGGCTTATATTGTTTTTGAGATCCCCGCCAACATGTTGTGCAAAGTAGTCGGCCCTGGGTGGTTTATGCCGGCCGCAGTGGTGTTATTTGGCGTCTTGACACTTGCAACTGGCTACGTGAACTCACTCGGGGCTGCCTACGCAGTTCGATTTCTCCTTGGAATTGCTGAAGCTGGCGTTCTACCCGGACTCAGCTATTATTTATCCCGATGGTACCGCAGAAGCGAGCTTACATTCCGTATTTCCCTTTATATGGTCATGTCTCCTCTTGCTGGCGGATTGGGAGGTCTCCTGGCGTCTGCCATCTTAACCATGGACAATTTTGCCGGGTTACGGGAATGGCGAATGATATTTGCTGTCGAAGGTATCATTACAATCGGAGTCGGTGTGATTACCTTCTTCACCATGACAGATCGACCAGAAACTGCTCGCTGGCTATCTCAGGATGAGAAAGATTTGGCTATCAGCCGAATCAAGTCTGAAAGAATCTCCACCACCGAACTGGTCGATAAACTGAACCGTAGGAAGATCTGGATGGGAATTATCTCACCAGTTTCTCTCGTGGGGTTCTTCACCTTCTTATTTGCAGGTGTGACTGTTCAAGGCATCAGTATCTTCTTGCCTACCATTATCAGGACTATCTACCCTGGAACTTCAGTCGTCCACCAGCAACTCCGGACAGTTCCTCCTTACGCAGTGGGATGTGCCTTCGCCCTTGGTCTCCCTTACCTCAGTTACCGCATCAACCGAAGACAAGTTTTCTTCCTCTTCTCAGGCCCTGTTCTGATTATCGCATACGCAATGTTCCTCGGCACAGACACTTCCCAACCCCAGGTCCGTTACGGAGCTACATTCCTCATTGCGTTGGGCAGTTTCCCTCTCGGCACATTCAACAATGCTCAGCCTGCTGCCAACTCCGTTTCTGATACAGCACGTAATGCAGCTCTTGGTTTTGTGAATTTCGGTGGGCATCTGGGTGGGCTCATCTCCACCTGGTCCTACCTACCATTTGACGCACCCAACTTTCCCATTGGCAATGGTCTCAATGTGGGAACTTCTTCTGGAATCCTTCTTCTCTCCATCGGGCTCATTGCTTTTATGAAGTGGGACAACAAACGCAGAGATGCCCGGGATGTCGATGCAGAGCTTGCTGGAAAATCACAGGGCGAGATTCAAGATTTGGAATGGAGACATCCAGGTTTCAGATGGAGACCTTGAGGCAAACAGGGATGGTGTCCAAGACCAAGATCATTCAAGATACAACTACTTGGGCACTGCATAGCATTACCTTTGTTGAAGGCGTAGATTCCAATAGACATATTGGCCTCAGTACCAGAATAAAATTTGATCTGTGCACTTTCGATCCTTCCATGAAAGCATGCAGTACTCTGAATATGCCTTTAGATCTTAGAAACTGAGCTCAACACAATCTTTCGGATGAACTTGCTCGACAGAGTGTGGAGACCCCGTGAGACCCCGTCTCGAGCGCCACCTGCTGACACGGCTATCCGAGGTTCAGCACTCGAAGAAGCTGTCCCTGTCAGAGGAAATATCGACTAAAGCGCCATCGTTGCTTGGCAATCGTTCGGTCCGGGGTTACAATGGTCTTATATCCATTTGGCAATCAAAAAATAACAATTTTCCCCGTAGGATGGTTCGGGAACTACCCATTGGATTAGAGTCTGATTCTAAGTTCCCTATCGAGCCGATCTTGCCTGGAAGTCAGGCACAAAGTTTGTGAGGTGTAATAGACCTTGGGCCGATCAACATATCTGCCTCGGCATTCTGATTAAATATCCGTGCAACAGACATACACTGGGCGACGACGTGCAAGACCGGAACCCAGAAAGTGGAGCAAGCAGAGTTGTTCAATTGATCTCCCAAGAGATTATTGTTTCTTTACATACAACAATTGGGCTGACGGAAATCATCGAAGATGTCGAAATTGGACGAGGTAAGTAGAAGTCGATCCATATAACCACATCAGCTATGTGTACGCATGGTTACATTTACGCTTCGAGGTTCGAAGAGGTTTCCATCGGCCAACAGAATAATAATCATCTTATTGTGAGACCAGGTTATACAGGATCTAATCCACGCCAACCACATTATGCATTACAATGGGGTGGTTGATGCATTTGGACATATTTCGGTCCGTCATCCTCATAAGCCAGATGTCATGATCATGTCGGCGAACATGGCACCGGCTTTGGTCCGCACGGGGGATGATTTCGTCGAATATCGCATTGAAGATGCCCAGCCTGTCGCGAAAGAGGGTGCACGAGGAGGTTTCATTGAGCGATATATTCACTCTGAGCTCTTCAAGAAGTACCCGGATATCAACTCAGTGATTCACTGTCATGCGCAGGATGTTCTACCATACGCAGTGTCTGGGGTTCCATTCAAACCATTTGGCCATACGAATGGATTTCTTGGTCAGTCTCTACTTTCTCCCCCCCAAGAGATCAATCTTATCAGCATGTTCAGCGACTTGATGACTGTCACTGACTCACATCAACACCAGGACAAGAAACACCTATCCACGACGTCGAAGAATGCTATCGACCAGGCGACTCACACGACCTCCTCATAAATAGTATTCGCCTAGGCGCTGAGCTGGCTGCCTGTTTCTCGCCCTCTTCTAACGAAACTGCATTTCCACAGCACAAACTCGTCCTGATGCGTCGTCACGGCTTTACAACCGTAGGTCGAGGTATCAAGGAAGCTGTTTTCCAGGCGGTTTACGCGATAAAGAATGCACGCTTGCAGACTACGTCTATGTTGTTGAGGCAAACTTTGGATTCGTCTCGTCAAGGGGGAAAAGAAGATGTATATCTGGGCGACCCTCTGCATGCCTTGGAGGGACTCACAGAACAACAGACAAAGGACGGTCAGAATACTTCGGAGGGTGCTATAATGAGGCCTTGGGGTTTGTGGGTGCATGAGGTCAAAAGTTTACCGATATATACGAGTAAAGTTTAGTCGACAACAATTATGGGAGAGCATGAAGTATTTTCTACACCTCAATTCATTCTTCCATGGCATAGACATCATCCTTTCCACGCTGACCCATTGTACCTGTGCAATGTTTGACCTTTTCTCCTACGACTTGTCCGACTCCCCATCTGCTTGATAGTCTGTAAAACGCATGACCCTACGACTATCTTGAGTTTGCTCTGTGGCTCCACAGATCTATGGCATGACTTCCGATTGGTCCGTTGGCAGACGTGCAAAGCTCCCTATAGTAAACCCAAATAAGGAAGTTATCACAGACGCTCCTCAGCATAGTCTCATCTCCCGGCAACTTTCCATGAATGTGTTGCTGGCCGATGATCAGCGTGCCTTTAGCCGACGGGTAATCTTTAATATCGGGGAGCCATCGGTTCAGACACCCAAGCGAGTCCAGCAAAGCCCAACGCCCAGACATGGGGTTTCGCTTATTCCGAGGGAGGAAAATGCTTAACTCCACCAATCAGCACGGTCCCGTCATATGGGTCTGATATAGACGACCACCGTACTCAAAAACCTCATAATGAAAGGAAAACAGACATCATCTCAACCTCGAATTATTCCAAACGACACCAGTCTTATCAAACCGAAGCAAAGCAAAACATGTCTCTTCCTTCAATCGAGTCCTGCCTACCCCAGCATTGGGGCCTGTATTACAACGGGCAATGGCACGAAACCCAAGACGGCGAGGACCGCGAGATCTTCAGTCCAGGCGACGGCAAGGTGATCAAGAAGGTTGCTTTTGCTGGCGTCAAAGACACAGCAGCAGCGATTAAGGCTGCCCATGATGCATTTCCCTCCTGGCGAGCCACTTCAGCCATTCACCGGGCACAGAAACTCCGACAACTTGCTTCTTTGATGCGCGAACACGCGCAAGAACTGGCTATGTTGGATTCCTACAACACGGGAAATCCTGTGGCGATCATGAAAAGCGATGCTCTGACTTCAGCTCAGCTGGTTGATTTCTTTGCTGGCATGATTACCGCCGTGCAAGGCGAAACAACACATCTGGACGATTCGACGTTTAATTATACGGTTAGAGAGCCGCTCGGGGTGGTGGCTCGTATTGTCGCATCAAATCATCCGGTCATGTTTCTTGGGAACCGTCTCTCAGCCGCTGTGGCTGTTGGTAATACGGTCATCGTCAAGCCACCGGAACAGGCCCCTCTATCTGCTCTAAGATTTGCTGAGTTGATCGAGGAGGCTGGAATCTTTCCCCCGGGAGTTGTCAATATCCTGCCTGGCGGTGCCGAGTGCGGCAAAGTCCTATCCACACACCCTCTCGTGGCTAAGGTCACTCTTGTTGGCAGTGTCGCCACCGGCAAAGCCATCCAGAAAGCAGCTGCAGACACATTAAAACTGACATCTTTCGAGTTAGGAGGGAAGAACGCTTTGATCGCATATCCAGATGCAGATATCGAGCGGCTTGTGAGTAGCGTGGTATCAGGAATGAACTGGGGTTGGTGTGGACAATCATGTGGATCTACATCGCGAGTATTCCTTCACGAGTCTCTCCACGACACCGTGCTTGAAAGAGTACAGGAAATAATTTCCAAGTCCTTCCGACCAGGGAACCCATTGGATCCAAACACCACGATGGGATCTATGGTCAGCAAAGCAGCTCAAGATCGAGTGATGAAATATGTCGACATTGCGCATAAGGACGGCGCACGGCTTGTCATAGGAGGCCGAATTCCAGATACACCAGAGACCAAGGGTGGCTACTTTGTAGAGCCGACGATATTTGCCGACGTGAAGCAGACGATGCGGATTGCCAATGAAGAAGTCTTTGGACCTATCATGTCGGTGCTTAAATGGAGTGATGAAGAACAGCTCTTCAAAGACGTCAACAGTGTTGAATATGGTCTCACGGGCGCGGTCTTCACCTCAGATATCAAAACAATGCAGACTGCTATTCGACGGATCCAAGCAGGCACTGTATGGGGGAATACTACGGGAACGCACTTCTTTAGCATGCCGTTTGGTGGGTACAAGCAATCGGGTATTGGAAGAGATGATTGCATGGAAGAGCTGGTGGACCTGACTCAGATTAAAGCTGTCCATATCAAGTTATAGAGTAGCGAAGATACCACTGTCTAATGGAATATCTTTTTGCGAGTTCGTTCTTTGTCTATTTTAAAACTTTCCTGTCTGCTAGAGGCATACGCTGCTGCTTTTTACCGAGAGTTTCGGCCAAGCTATGTGTCTTTATTCTCTAAATGTCACCAGGCGTTGACAATCTGAGTTGACAACGAGACCAGTAGGTGATGTGACATGGTAACATAGTATATAGGGGAGATAATGATCATGTCGAAGGACAATGAGAGAGTGTCCAGAGGTGTATGAGGTATTGCAAAGCGGTTGTAAATATGGAGAGAGGGAGAGTGCAGGTGGTTCCTTCCTTTGGCTCCGCGCCGTCCCCAAGATTTAAGCTTAAAATGCTCCTTCCCGGGGTGAAGGGGTTATTATTGGGCGCTGTTGGAGGCAGCGACGACCACCGAAGCGAAGCACTTTCCAATACTCTTGGCTGCACGGGACTTCAACTTCAACTTCTACAACATTTTCCCATACCAAAACAGTAGCCAGGCGACTTCATTACAACACCACACCAGACAACACTCATCCAAAACCCGTTCTTCCCAACCTCCTCCCACCCTCTCCTCTCCCAGCACGATGGAATGAGCCTCACAAACCCTCTCCACCTATACCGGCATCTCCTCCGGGAAGCCACATACCTCCCACTGCCCAATGTCAGAGACTACATCGCCGAACATATTCGACAGAGTTTTCGACGATATCACAAACGACAAGTGGTCTTGAGCACGATCACCAACACTCAAGATGACACCCTCCCTTCGAATCCCTCTTCATCCTCCTTATCACATCCTGCACCATTCCCATCCCGCACCCAAGTACCGGGGAATACCTTGACACTCCAACGACAAACGACCCTCCTCCACAACGGACGGAAATTCCATTCCACTCTCCAACGGGCCAATGCGGGCTATCCACGTGCCATGGGCAAGATACTACGCATGAGCTACGGACGGACAGGACGACGACGACACGAACTATTAGACTCGTATGTCGCGCAAACCACTAGAAAGACATCCACACCTTTATCCCCAGGACCCGCCAAAGATAAGGCATCACCAGACTGGAAAATACCAGCTGCAATGGACGCATTAATGCAAAGTCAGATGATGCATCAACACCAATTCATTCGTTGGGGCACCAATTCCCGTGTGCGCATGCCTATGAAGATATCACCCGAACGCAACATTCGCGGTGACCCTATCTGCAAGTCACGCCGAAAAAATATGCTGCATGCCTGGTATTTGTCCAACGTCCGTGCCGTGATGGCTCCTCTCCCCGAACGAGAATATAGCGCTTTGCATCGTCTTGTCAGTGGCGAAGATCCTATGCCTAAACCACCCACACGCAGGCCAAGGGCGAGAGTACCTGTTCTTGTGGTGAGTGTGGATGAGCATTCGTCAGTATATACCGACGACAAGGACAAGGATATCGAGGAATGGTTAAGGGAAGAAGACGAAGATGTTGCAAACATCAAGACATTTGCCGCGACGCAGTCACTGGCACAATCAAACCCACAAACGCCTGCGAGTCTTATCGTCAACGGCCCAGTATCCCCACCCCGACACCAGGACCGGCCGCGACAGTGGGACACGCGAAATCTACGCCGTTTGTTACAACGCGCTGTCTTGACGCAGACGCCGGTGGTGAAAAGGACTCCGTCATTTCCTGCAGATCTTCTTCCCGCTGCCGGCGAAGTGAAATCCGAACACGAACTCGAACACGAACTCGAACTCGACCAGAGTGACGGTGCAGATCCCAACCAGGACAGCTTGCAGACCATATCCCCCAAACCTCGAAAACCTCTTGCTGTTGTCTGGGATGATGGATATTCCCGGAAAGGCCTTCTCTTAGCCAGCATCAAGTCGGTGGCCAATCGAACTCAAGGCCAGTTGCTTTTTGGATGATTTGTCTGCACAACGACCCCCTGATGTGGAGGAGATATGAATGTACTATCAAACTAGAAAGAATAGAAAGAAATCTCTCTCAGTTTCGAGCAGCCTCGACTCTGAATTTGTACAAGAAAGTAATTACTCATCATCACCATCTTCATTGTGTTGACTACCTTTGAGGGACTCTTCTACTCTCTTACACCCTTAGAACCCCACTCCCCCTTCCTACCAGTACACAAATCCCATGATCGACGCCGTCCCAATTCTATCCGCCGAAACCATCCCGCTCGCTATGCTGCAAATCATTGTCTAGCTCGTTAGTCATTACCTGTGGCCATCTTCCTCCCCATCAAGGCGAACCTCCTAACATGGCACTCAGTGCAATGTACCACGTCAGAGATGCTCCGCCATCGATCCAGCTCATGTCAAAGTTGGGCGTCGTGAAGAAATTGAACGCTGCTTGAGGGTTAATAATAGCCAGATTCGCCATAATAATACCTGGACCCCTGTTAGTTACATGCTTCTGACTGAACACCTGGACCTTGCTCACCTCTCCAGCCTCCTTGTACATCAATCACTTGCCGCACTGCTCCGTCAGCAAAGTAAGCAATCCATTCTTCCAGCACAAAGCTTTCTACTCATGGTTAGCATGGTACCTTGGGTTTTGTACAGTCCACTCACGTTTTCTTGTCAATGTCGAACATGGCATGACCGGGATCATATGAATTCTGTCCAATAGTTAGCCTTCATGCTCTGCCTCATGTTGAGCACCCGTAACCTACCCCTGGACATACGACAGATCCGTTCCAAAGTAGGTGACATGGTCCGCCTTGTTTTCAAACAAGATGCCCGTCACCTTGTTGTCAATGAAGGACGCTGGTTGATTAGGATTGTCCGACTCCATGAGGAAGTAGTTCTGGAAACTTCGTGCCATAACACTCAGCATTAGGTTTCCTCGCGCTTCCATTGAAGCATCACCGATCGTTCGACCCCACATTTTCAAGCTGTAGGCAAACATGGCATCTTCCGAAGAAGATTCTTCGTCCTTGCCATCGCCAGACTCGAAAAGCCCTTTGGCCCACGAGTGTCCATGGTACCAGTCAAATGCTCGCGATACAGGGAAGTACTGATCCAATGAACTTGGATTAGCAATGTCGCGTACCAGAGCATTCACATAGTCTTTGTTGCGCGTCAACCAAGTGGGATCCAAATAACCAATGACTGATGCAGCGTGGATGAAATAGCCATAGTGGAAATGGTGGTCGTTATAGTACGAGTTGCCAAAGTCGACACCATCGTCGTGCAAAACATAACTGGCCGAGGACACAAGCCCCTTCCACACCGTGTCGTAGACCAGAGGGAACTCTTGTTGGTTTCTGGCAAAAACATCAAACGCATCCTCCAGCTCAAGGAGTGCAGCTCTTGCCAGATCCTGTTGGTCGCTGAGATCATGCATGGTGTAGATCAATGTCGCGAACTTGCTGAGAGCTTTACCACTGAAGTACATGCTGTTGAGATTTGACTGCGCAGACATGTTTTGCGAAGCTTCAGCGGCAGCAACACCCTGTATCGCAGCAATGGCAGCAGGTGACAATGTGGATTGGGCTTGTGGGCTTCCTGGTCTCCATGGAGCAAAGGCCATGGACGTCGGAAGTTCGGTTTCTTCGAGGACCCAGTAATCACCCACGACCGCAGTCGCCTCACCTTTGGTGGGTGTGGTCAAGACCAAATTGGTGACGTTTCTGAGAGTGGATGATTCAAACGATTGCACATGATGCGGCAGGGCAAACATCAAGAGGCTGGTATTGGACGCAAAAGCACCGCCCTTTGTCCAGGACAAACTATACTGAGCAGTTGTTCCTTGGGCGTTGCCTGAGACATGACCAGCCGTGGGATAAGCTCCCACAGCATCGTCATAATACGATTCAAGCGATGGATCTGGAAGTTTGGCGATTTGAATATCACCAAACCAGTTGGGAATACCCTGCAACATTGTACTCGACAGGAGCAAGAGGTTAGGAGAAACTCCGCTGCTAGGTATGGCATAGATCAACCATATCTTGCCGTCTTCCAGGGTCACCCTGTATTTGTAGACGCCAGGCTTTGGAGGAACTGCGGCTGCAATGTTTCTGAAGAATACGCTACTCTGAATCTCTGGTTGGAGATCAGCATAGTGGGCTGTGACAAATGCCATTCCTTGGACCAGTGGGAGCGTAAGAATCGAGGCCGATCCTTGGGCCGGTTGAAGGTGAACGTTGGCCGAAAAAGCCAGGAGCGAATCCGATGTCATGACAGTGTTCGGGCCAAGCTCAGCAGCTGACAGTATGATTGATTCAATGCCTAGCGGATTGATGTAAAAGGAACTCGGAGAGCCAGGGATGCTGGGATTGGCAGGGCCATAGGCCTTTTGATTGTTGTCGATGTGGGAGATGGCCAGGCCCCAGCTTCGAGCGTTGCCGCTGCCTTTGCTCCATCGCAAACTGTACGGCATCATGAACACCGGTGAGGTCTGTGAGCCAAGAACGATGTTTTGATAGAATTTGTTGGTTTCAATCGGTCCTCCATCTGTGTTGATACCCAGGCGTGGCACTGGATGGTCATCTCTCCAGCCAATGTTTGCAGGCGGCGAGCCGAGGCCAACAGGCTGGAAGAGATCTTGTCCTGAACAGCCCATGGGTAATAGACACGTCGAAGTTGCGGTTGGAAGTACAGATGCTGTGACGTCCGTTGTCAATGTTATCGCTTCGGTTTCTGTGATTGTGGAGGACGCCGAGATCATGGTTTCAATAATGGCGGTTCCGGACGTCGTAATCACCGTAGTCCCCACAGTGGAAGTGGAGACCAGACTGCCGTCCGAGGTTACCGTTGTGTTGATAACCGTGATCGCAGTGACCACAGTAGTCGTGGGGACTGGGATGTTGACAATGGTGGAGTTCACAACGACTGTTTCAAAAGTGGTCACTGGGAGTGTCAAAGTCTCGGTGATGCTGCTCGGCGACTCTGTTGCCGTATCTGTCCCAAACGGGGCTGTGCTGTCCAGAGGCTCTAATGTTGGCGAAGAGACAGTGATATTACCTGTGGGAAAGGGCTGAACCGGAGGTCTACCACCAGTTTGGAGGGTGGTATTGATGAACTGCGTTTGTCAGTAGTGGTCGAGGTGCAAGGCTTGGCAAACCTACACCAGTTGTATCAGGATTGGGATTTGCTGCCGAAGTTGCGGTAGGATCTTGTGAACTAGGCAAATCGGTGATGGTAGCAGTCCCGAAGCTTAGATTTGGATTTACATAAGTGATTTCTGAGGTATAAGTGGGTGAGGCGATAGTGGAAGGGGCCGCAGACGAGCCAGTCGTTTCTGCAGCTGAGAGTGTAGGAGATGTTGAAGGTCCATAGGATTGATCTGACTCTGTGGAGATGGTAGAGGTTTCTAAGGGACTCGAAGGTTGTGTGGAGGTTGCAGCATCGTTGTTGGTGGTTGGTTGTAGGGTCGGTAAAAGGTCAGAAACGAGGGATGTCTGCCAGGGAGGGCCGCGGATGAAAGTCTCGCCATCGGCTGTGACTGTTATAGGAGAGGTTAGAGTGTCATCGCCAAAAGGGTACAGCTGATCGTCGCAATCGCAGTCTCGTTCAAAGTGGCGTTTTGACTGACCCAAGACTCGACGGGCTGGCAAGGCCCCGGCGAGGAATGCCTGCGAAAGAGTTAGTACAACAGGAGCCCATGAAGTATGCATAATATGAGGAGAAGGGGATTATGGTAGACGTCTTGAAGACGCTGTTTCAGAAGCCAATCTGGCACAGTGCATCAATTTCCACCAGGCAAGGTCGCAAAAATCAGGAGAGCGAGTTGAGATGGGGGCTGTTTTGAGGAGCTCTTGTGTAGGCAGCGGAGAGGATGAGATGTCTCAATGATGATCAGGATCTTCTTGAGTAAGAGGATTGAAGGTCTGGATCCTTGATCTCGCGATGGAAGGATTCGGTAGAGACGACAATAGGAGGTGTTGTGTTGCATTTGGGGCTCTTTGAGTGGGATGTCACAAGTACGTCAACGACAACATACTTCCCGATAGAGATGGTTCAAGACAGCGGCAGCGTCACAGGCACAGGCACAGACACAGACATGGTGGGTGCTAGCATACCAAAGCAAGATTTGACCAGTTTGGCGCCAACATGCAAGGCGATTTGGGTGATCCGAGCGTTGAATGACAGGAGGGTCGTGCGTGATGGGTGGCAACGTGGGGAGGGTAAGGACCTCAGGACTGTTGATTATGGATAGGTCGACAGATAAAGAGGGAGAATGATAAGAATAATGAGGCTCAGATGGATTGAGGATTGTTGATAGAAGCAAAGAGGTTGTGTATATGGAATTTCAATTGTTGACCGACGCAGTTCGAAAATCCTGCGCTGGGCGGGTGCAGTTCGCACCTTCCCGGAGACATGTTCGTTCCTTCCATTGCAATCATGCATGAGAAGAGGAAAGCGGTGCACATTGTGAGCGATTGTCGGATGATTCATGTTAATCTCAGCATCGAGGCATCATACCACTCTTTGTTACCTTGATGGTTGGCGCCGTTGATCGTGTAGTCCAAGCAAGAACACGTCCAGGTGATGGACCACAGCAAGTAGATGCCGCGTCCTGGTGGATCTTCCATCGTTGCAGCGACAGACCCAGCATCTCGAGCTTGTTTGAGAAATGGATACACATCTGATTTTCTCCACGGTCTTGAGGAGGTCTGTGTTTATGGAGGAATTCAAGGATAGGGTTGATGTGAGAGGGTGGGAAATGAATTGTTGTCAGGGACGGCACGTGATTATGTTGACCTGCAGCCAATCATGTCGATGAGAATAATGATGAGTGACATGCAGGCATGTGGCTATTATATCAACCTGTCGATGATGACAGACCAGAATAGCTATTCCAAGAGTCGTGTATGGTTATTAAACCGAAGTTCTTCCTATCTACGACTAAATTCAGCTCTCTCGAATCATAGTACCATATCCACAAGATCAAAAATTCCGGAATCGTTCACTCTCTTTCAGACGCTGATGCTTCATCCTCGTAGAAATGACAATGCAGCCAAAGTCATAGCCTCTCCACCTGTTTGCAATGTCGGGTGAATAATGGGTGCAAAGTCCGGGCTATGGTTGATTGGAACTGTGTTCAACTTGTTGACCTTTTCCAACGCATCCCACACCACTGGATCAATACCACCAAAGAGCCAGAAGTAATATGGTTTGCCGATTGACGAGGCCAAGATACTAAAATCTTCACTTGCAAGACTGCTCTTAGGCGCCACGAAGAATGCTTTCTCAAAGTGATCAGCAAACACATGTCGCAGTGTATTGTCGACCACTGGGGTGTTATTGGTAACTGGGAGGCTCATGTGGTGCTCGACCTGAGGCGGCTTTTCGCAGAATCCAGCCGCGCATTCTGCATCGATGGTTTTTCGGATGTGGTCCAAGACGGTGCGGCGGACTTCTTCGTCAAGTGTGCGTACATTGATGGTGAAAAATGCATGGTCGCAAATAACGTTCTCCGCCGCGCCAGCATGAATGGATCCAACTGTGATGACTGCAACCTCATCCGGTGGCACCACTCGACTGACAATCGTCTGCAGTCGTACCACAATGTGACTGGAAATGACCACAGGGTCGATACACCGGTGAGGCATGCTTCCATGGCCTCCACGGCCAAAGATGGTCACTTTGAAACTGTCAGAAGAGCTCATTATGGGCCCTGCCTTGGATGCCACAATGCCGGCGCGGATGGGTGCGACGTGTTGTCCGAGAACCATATCAGGAAGAGGGCAATTGTGCTTGTCGGCGTCATAGAGCCCATCTTGGACCATTCCCAGTGCACCGTCACCTGCTTCTTCGGCTGGCTGGAACAGGAAGACAATGGTCCCTGACCATGAATCCCTAGCTGATAACAAAGCTTCTGCTGCAATGAGTAGACATATCACATGGAAGTCATGTCCACACGCTATGAGAGAGATGGATGTCAGCAAAACAAGAAGCATAGCTGATGAAAAGCTCGGTCAACCTACCATGCATAACCGGAGTTTCCTTTCCATCGGCGCCTATTTGCTTCTTCTGACTGGCGTAATCCAGGTTCGTCCTTTCTGCCACCGGGAGAGCGTCCATGTCAGCTCGAAGCATGACAGTCTTCCCCGGTCCATTCTTCAACAGCGCAATGAGACCATGGCCTCCAATCTTGGTGCGAATCTCAAAGTCATTACTCAGGCTTTGAAGATGTTCAACAATCAAAGTCGCGGTCTCTGACTCTTGGTGTGATAGCTCTGGATTTAAATGCAAGGTCTTGTACAAGTTCTCATACCGCGTCAGGTCCGGCTGAGTTTTCTTCACCAGCGCAGTAAGTGATGTCGCATCTTTGGTAGTGGACATGATTTGACGAGGCTCGAATCTCAAAGCCGGAATATAATCCCCAGATTAGTGGTCAGAGGTCCAGATAGGGTTGTAATAAGAAGGGACAAGTACCAGTCGAATGGCAAGTGATGAGGTTGATCATGACTTTACCAAGTTGGGGCGAGCCAATATACTTTTTGGTGACGCTCGAGCCTCTGTCGAGATCCCAAGCCTGGACCCTGCACAGGACTAGTATCTTCCTGCCACACATAACACAAACTACTAGTGAAATAGAAAATAGACCAGACAAAAATAGGCAAAGGACTTGTACCTGGCCCACCCATCTGGAGTTCTCTTGGTCTTGGATTGGTGTGCGGGCTTTTGAGGAGCATGTGATCTGTTACCATCTCGTGGTTGTGGGTGCAAGACGGAACCAGCCGCTCTACCAAAGATGTCTGATGGGATGAACCAAGGCGCCGAGTCGTCAGCTCGCTTGCTTCAACTTAAAGTTCAATACGCCGTTGAGTGGCGGGACCGGCTCCAATAACCTTCTCATGATAGATTCAGCTCAGAGTGGCCGAGGCCAGAGATGGCTTTGCCAGCGAGTCTTTTCGATTTGTACTTATCATATTGCGCCTCTAGCCACGGCTACATTGCCTCGTCTGTATATCGTTTGTCCGAATCGTCATCTGGGTTTCTTTTTCCGTAGAATACGCGCAAGTTGTCGTACTCTGAAGGTCGTGAGAGTTTGGACGGTGCTACGTAAAGAGCATGACAAAGCCAAGCCGAGTCTATGCCTATCACGGACTAGCGGCAGTGACTCGGCTATTTTGCCGAAAATGACAAAGCACATCGTATCCGGACACAAGAAGGCGACGAGGACTTCATACATATACGGAGAAGATATCTGATTTGCAATGTTTACCAAAACATGCCATTATGCTGCTAGTATTGTATCCGTTCGGGAGGCTCGGTGCGTCCGATATACTTTCAGTTACCACACAAGACTCACGCAACACTCCAACAAATGACGGGGCTTTCTATCAAGATACCACGTCCTCCCCTCTCAATGATCTATGCCTGTGGACGTGCCATCGGACGTATCACACCCTGTTTCATCAACACTCGTGGCTTCGTCGCATCCTGGAATGTGTTTTTGGTCGTCCACTCCGGTCCCAAGGGCAGTCGCAGAGATCGCTCATATTGATGTCGCGTCTCGAACGGATGAGGCAGTTCCTGGGCCAGATACTTGTCGTTCTTCTTGATTCTTTTTTCGTTGATAATCACTCGTTCCAATTTGGCGTCTTTTCTCTTGTCCGCCGCCACGCCTTTGATCGTTGTCGTAAATCTGCCCTTGGTCCTTTTCAGTGCCTTTTTGCTGACCCCTTCCCCTGTCCAGCTCCCCCATCCTGGTAAAGTGTTGTCAATAACTTGATCCCCTTCCTCCTCAACTGTCTCCTTCTTCTCCTTGCGGAAATCCTGAGACACCTCATCGGGTCCAGCGAAGATGGCCTGCGCCAGCGTTGACTGGCCTTCGTCTTCGTCCTCAGATCCTGAGGAGCTGGTATAACCATTTAGCTCTGCTTCTTCAATAGTGGGCTTCTTCACCAGTTGTTTTGTGATCGGTTGGCCCTGACGGTTTGGCATCTTGTCAATCTTCGACGCCACAACGGCCTCGCCGTTTGTTTGACTCGTCAGACGTGCGTGACTGGTTTGGGAAACAGGTGGCATCGAGGAGACAGACTTCTTGGTGGACACGCGTGATTTCTTCTCGATTGGAGCCGTAGAGATAGCCTCATGCTTGGGTTCATCGTCGAAGCCAGCCAAGTCTTCGTCTTCGGAGTTCCGCTCTTCGAATTCGCTTCGCTGAACAGTGTGTTTTGGGAGGATGGTGTCTGTGGCAGGTTTTGAACCAAACTTCTGCCTGCCAGTGGAGCTGATGTTCTCAAGATCAGACCCATATGAGTCTTCCGCGTCGCCCTGTCCTAGCATGCGTTGGGCATTTCTAATTTCTTCGTCATTGGCAGCCTTCCTTGCCGCCTCCGCCTTCTTCATGAAGGCCATCGAGGAGAGCCGAGTTTCGGTGGTATCAGGCGCCTCGGATGCAAGCTCGCTGAACTTGTGGCGTAGACGGTCGCGTTCCTCGTCAGAATCAGAGAGACCTTCAGAGTCCGCAATTTCGTCCTCGGACGAGCCAGAGGCATCGCCAGATTTGCCTTCGATACGTCGACGAAGCTCTTCGTCCCGGCGTGCAAGATCACCCACAGCATTTCTAGCTTCATCGTCCCATGCACCTCGACCTGTTGCTTTGACACTTTTCGCCCATTTGCTCTCTCGGTGACGTGCCCCCATGCGCTCTTCGGCTCTGCGACGATCATTACGCTCTCGTTCTTCTTCTGAATCAATCATACCAAGCTCTGCCAGAGCCGATCGGTTCTCCAGTCCTGCTTTCTCGCGTTCTTTGCGATGGATTCGACGATAGGCTTTGCTCTTTATCTTCTTGACTCTCCGAGCACGGATCTCCTCACGGAATAACAAGTCCCGCTCTTTGCGCAACTCGGCGCGGCGAGCCTGGACCTCTTGGAGAGGCATTTGCTTCTCCTGAAGTTCTTCAAATTCTTGTTCGTGGTTGTCGGTAGACATGGCGAGGCCTTGCTCCTCCATAATAGCCTGTATTGTGGATTCGAGGGATGTCATCGGTATTGATTGGGAAGTGGGTGCCAAGCTCTTGCTGTTGACCGTTGCGACGGCGGATTGGTCCTGCAAGGGAAACGATATGTGCTCAGCACGTCGGTTCTGCTTGACGGTGTCAATCCATTTATCGAGCTCCTTTTTAGTCTCCTCATATGCGGCACTTCTATCAAGGCGATCCTGTTGTCGCTTAGCCAATGGTGGTGCAAGTTTACCCGGAATGCCACTCTTGTACGCTTCAGCGCCTTGCGCCTCGCTATTTTGCAGCATCTTCAAGGTTTGCCGCTGGCGAGGGTCTTTGACATATTGTAGCAAATCAGCCGCTGTCAATTTCGAGCCACCTAGACCAAATTGTGACGGTTTATCCGACAAACCCTTGCGAGGGCGGTCCGGCTTGGTTAGAGTCGTATTGGCGGGTGCTGACAATCCTTCCACAAAGCTTTGGAGCTTGTTATGGTCTCCATCATCGTCAGAGACGGACAGTTGGGACTCGTTGTCAGAGTCGTCATCGTCATCATCCTCGCCCTCGGCGGAATCGTCATCATCGTCCGAAATGGCATCTTTCTTTGTTGATGGCAGACTTCTCTTGCGCACCGAGCTTTTCTTTTCAGCTTCATCGTCCATGTCCCAGGCAGTAGCTAAATCAACAGCGTCATCACCCAAGTCATCGTCACTGCCATCTTCCCCCGAATCTTCACCTTGGCTCCGGTCAGAAGCGTCTTCATCTAGGAAAGGCGAACTTTTCACAGGTCGTCGTTTCTGCGTAGAGGGTATGCTCGAGGTACCACGGAATGTAAAGTCTGCAAATTTCTCTTCATCGCTTTCGCCAAAAGCATCATCACTGTCGATGTCACTGTCCTCATCGTCGTCGTCCACTCCCACGTGCCACCGGTTTCCTTCTAGATCAGATCCTGTATCATCCGAGTCGCTCGTGGAGGCTGCGTTCGTCTTCTGTCGCTTTGTTGCAGGACCGTCGTGATCATGTTCGGCATGAGCGTCTTCGTTGTCATCGTCATCATCAACATGGCCCAACCGATGTCTGGGGACTTTTATTTGCTCCGGGTTTTCTTCCTCGGCCATCTCAAGTGCGTTCAATCGTCGATTTCTCGTGGCTTTTCTTTTGGTGGCCTTCGCAGGTTTGGAGGCAAGTACCGACCTGCCATGCGCTTGTCGTGGCATCCTCGCTACAATGCAGACTCAAACCAAGGCACAAGGATGAGTTCCATTGAAAGACTGCGGCGCCGCAGTGACATTTGTCGGTGGACGGCAACAAAAAAGTCGAGTTGTCGGCTCAACTTCGGCGTCTAGACTTTTTGGTGGGGATGTCTTGGCAGCCATGAAGAATCGCAATCAGGCACGACTGGGCACGTGATGCGGCCGATCACGTGTATGCCAAGACCAACCCCATGCTGCATGCTGAGGTAATGTTGCTGATACCTACAGGGCTCTATATAGGTACTTAGTCACTGCTTTCTAGGAGGGCTGTAAATACCCCTACACTCAAAACTGAGCCTCTTGTAGTGACTCGAGAGCATTTGCATGTTCATTCCGGCTTAGACTCCATCAAGCGCAATGAATATTCGAGGACCGGCGAACAGTGCATGCGCTTGACCAGCCACTCGGTTACTCTAATATTTTTAATGGGCCAAGAGAATCGTCTCTATTAACCTCAAAATGCTACGAAATGCATAGGCGCAAGAGGGAGGCTAGGCCATGAATAGTGATAGGAAGTGGCATAAGGCAAGTCATCCATTCAAGCCTCTACATTAGATGTCTGAGTGGGAACGGTCAATGCAAGTGGGCACGGTGTTCGGCATCGGCATTTCCATAACGTCAGCTATTGGCAGAGTACCGCCACCGTCTATGTATCGCGTGCACCCTCTGGAACAGATCGGCCAGGCACGTCTGTGTCAGATGAATTTTTGTCTCCGGGGTACTGTCCCTTGACTACGATTGTGGCCGTGGAGTGATCCACGTACGTGCAGTCATTCTCTGTAACTATTGCGCAGACGGCAAGGCTGTGACACCAGCCAAAATGAAAGCTATAGAGCAAAGCCGTCCTGTAGGCAAGGAGAAGAATCTACACTAAGGAGATGGTATTGAGGTTATTCTGTGTATTGCGCTGGGATCTTTCACGCTCTCAACTCAACCCAGAAAGAATGTCTGGGGAAGCTTTCGGAATGGGGCTTGTGGGGAGGTCTAATGTATGAGTTTCGCCTTCAAGCGGGGTTCAGACTCAGGCCGTGTCTAAAGGGTCCCCGAGTGCCCTTGTCAACCGAGCCAAGGGCTGAAATTTTGGCTAAAGCTCGTCGCCTCGAACCTTTAGTTGTAGTGGTCGCAACTGGAGCCAAAGAAGAGGATTTTGACTATGATCCTTAACATCAGCCAACTCTGACCTCTCCTCGTGCAGATTGGTGCTGTTATGAGCCCTTCGCCCTCGCAAAACAATATGGTGGAAGATGAAAGCGTCCCACTCCCTCAACCAGACCCGCCATCCACTCGCGGCCCTGGACGCGCTTGTTCTGAATGCAACCGCAAAAAGACGAAATGCGACATGACACGCCCGGTCTGTGGTCTCTGCTCCCGAACTGGTCGTACATGCATCGTTCCTGCAAGGAGACGTCCGCCTCTGCGTGGAAGACATGATCCTAGCAAAGGTAACAAGAACGCTCCCAACATCGAACTTTTGAACCAGCTTTTGGACACACAACATGCGACATCTCCGTTGCAGCCAGAAGACACCTGGGGATCTAGTCCATCCCCATCTCTCTCCCAGCAGTCAAAGGCTGGAGACCAGCGTGGCTTTTATGGTCTTAATATAGGAGCAGGAGATGGGACTAGCTCAACAAGACCTCCTAAAACAGCGAGCGACTTTTCGACGTCACTGCCATTGAATACATCCAGCAAAGATATAATCCACATTTCTTCACCTTCTCCCGGAACCATCGCCAGGTCTCCCGAGGAGACTAAAATCGACCATCCTTGTGATCCCTCGAGATACTCTTATATGTTTATACTCCGACTAGTGAGCATTCACTTCCAACGTATTCAACCGTGGCTCCCGTTGTTACACAAGCCCAAGTTCATGAGTCGATTGGCAGAGAAAATGCAAGGCCAGCCGGATCCTTTAAGTTGCCTCGATACAGATGAAGCGCTGCTCCTGAGTAGCATCTTTACCTTGTCTTGTCGATTCTTGTCTCAAGGAGAGCGAGGCGGGCACTCAACAAAGGTCTGGATCGATGTCTGCGCGCAGCATGCTCGGCAATGTTATAAAGACGCGCGGAATATTGAAAACCCTACACTCACGTACCTGCAAGGATGCATTCTTCTCGCATTCCACTATTATACCTCTGGTTTAAGCTCCCAGGGCTGGATTCTGGTTGGAGTTTGCCTACGACTTACCGATGAACTTGGGCTAGCTCGAATTGATTCTGAAGTCAATGCGGAAGCAGCACATCTGGAATGGGCCGAACAAGAAGAAAGGCGGAGGGCTTGGTGGCTTGTTTGGGAGCTTGATGTCTTCGGGTCTTCTGTCTGTCAACGCTCGTTTTCAACAGAATGGCGAAGGGCATCAGTCAAGCTCCCAGTACGGGATGATTTCTGGTTCGCGTGCCAGGAAACTGATTCACCACGGCTTCCCCGCCGATTGGGAAGCATCTGGCTGGTCCTGGACTCGCTTTCACGGAAAGATGGGAGAACATGGTTCTTGTTGGCCAATCTCCTCCATGCTTGCGCCCAAGAGTACCTCCAGCAGGAGGATTGTGTGAGCATCGAGGATCGAACTGTACTCCAAAATGAGATAAATTGTCTCAAATTGGCATTGCCTTCGTTCTTTGATCTGACCAACCAGCCTATGGACACTGACGAGCTTCACCATTCGAATCGTAACTGGGTCATTGGCACTCACTTACTGTTGTCATCCAGCACTTATATCTCCCGCAACCTTCCAATCAGAGACTTTGATGCTAGCATTGTGGGACCAGGGCTCTTTGGGGGCCCCTCTGGCTTGCGAGATCGGATCTTCGAACTTTCAAGAATAACCAGCCATTGGCCTGCTGACTACACCGCAGCGGCCCATCCATTTTTCTCATGCATGATGCTCAATGTCTACGTACCGAACGCAGAGATACCTTTCCAATCGGACCTTCTTAGCTCTTGTGATGCTGTGGTAAGGCTACTACAGGCACGACTGGGTGAATACTGGCAGCTTGGTATTTTAGCATTGAGTAAGTGCATTTTCAATTCATCTACCGAACAAAGAACTAATGTGGAACAGGGATTAGTAAATTACAAAACAGTCCCGCGCCGCTAGCGTCGGCAGATATGGAACTCATCAAGCGGTATCCCCTTTGGTTTCCGCGAACAATGCAGTGGCAAGCCTCTGCGGCATTCAGCAATTCCTCAATGAGGCAGCAGCAATCAATTGCTGGTTCAGAGAATGTGCCCCAAAACCACTTATTCGACAATGTGAATGATTTTGCATCCACAATTGGAACAAGAGATGTGAATGATGTGGCGGCGGCTTCTGATAATACTGCAACACGATCTGAACGCTTTGCGTTTCCGGCTGCCATCGCATCTGTTGATTTTTGGGACCTGAACTTGGACAACAACCCTCATGATTTCTCAGTCGGGCAAGATATCAGTACCAGAGATACTCAAGAAAGATTCCTGCCTCCTGTTGCCTGACCCAAGAAAGTTTACTGTGTAAGACTAGCCGGATGGTCGAGAGTTTTGGGTTCATTTTATTGATGGAAGAGCAATCATATGACATATGATGACACTTGGAATATGGAAACCTTAGGTAACAACGAAGGCACCTCTACTGGACGCGTTTGTCATTTTGTAAAGAATACATCTAACAGTATGAAAGTGGTGCTACTTTGGAGCAAAGCCCATCATTCAGACAGCTCATCTCTGTAGTATGGTAGCTACCCGATTGGAGATTCTTGTAGTTTATGTACATGACATGGAATGGCCAGCTAAACGGGGCATGAAGCGCAGTGAAATTGACGCCACGGGGGGATCTGAAGAGGTCTTCAAGCCACCGGATTGACAACGGTGTTCAGACATGCTGCGAAGACTCAAGTGGATCCAACTCCGGAGTCCCCAGGGGCCCAGAAGTCCGGGGCCCGGGGTATGCCTCCACAGCGCGGCATGCAACAAAAGTGGTGCGAGCTATCCTAAATACCGTGCCCGCCACGGTTTGTCTCACAGGACGCTCATGTAACCCACGTCTTACTAGCCAGTGGTGAGATTCTGTGTCTTGTTTACCTTCCGGAGACCTCAAAAGACATGTTTGATCTTCATTGTTTATCTGTTCATCCACACCATCAGCATCGCTGGCAACATGGGGTCTGTTAACAAAGTACTCGTTGTCGGGGCGGGTCTAGGTGGCCTTGCCTGTGCTATCACAAGTCGACTACAGGGCATAAAAGTGACAATATTAGAGAGGGCTCCAAAGATCGCCAATGTGTGTAAACCCTATGTTCACTCTTCAAGAAATTAACTGTCTGCTAGGTTGGAGCAGGAATTCAGATTCCGCCAAACAGCGCTAAAGTTCTCAAGTCCCTTGGGGTTCTTTCTAAGATCGAGGCAGTGTCCACGGTTGTTGAGAGTCTCGAGACCAAGAGATACTCGGATGGCAAGGTCCTTGCATCGCGTCCTTTGGGCGCGAACTCCCAGAAGATGTTTGGAGCGAATTGGATGTAGGCAACGAAACCTTGTCGATCTGAGCAGCGCATGACTGATTGGAATACAGGGTTATTCACAGGGAAGACTATCACAGCGTGCTTCTAGAAGAAGCGCTGGCTCTGGGAGCTGAGTTGGAGCTCGGAACCCAAGTTGACAGCATCGACTCGAGTGGAACACAAGTTACTTTGGCCGATGGCACCACAAGAGAGGCAGACGTGGTTGTTGGCGCCGATGGTAAGACTTTGCTCGACTTTGATTCGACATATTCCATTTGGCGATTTGGACTAATTGATGACTACCAATTTCCAGGTCTGTGGTCATCCACCAGAGAAACCTTTCTGAACAAAGCCTCTCCGCCATCTGAGACCGGTGATCTCGCCTACCGTGCTACGTTCAGTCTGAAGCAGCTACAGTCATTGAACAATCCATCAGTGGAGGCCTTGTGCGCACAAAAGTCGGTCACGCTGTGGATGGGCCCCCAGAAACACTGCGTCTTCTATCCTTTGAGATCCGGTACAGAGTTTAATCTTGTGCTATTGCGACCTGATAATCTTCCCCCGAATGTACGGGCCGAAGAAGGGGATATTTCTGAAATGAGAGCGGCATTTGAAGGATGGGACCCAATGTAAACCCAACCAGTTCTGTTCTGATGACCATGAACTAATCATTTCAGACTCACTCTGCTGATCAGCTGTATTTCTTCCGTGCTAAAGTGGAAGTTATTACACCACGAGGAGCTTGACTCGTGGACACAGGTAAGTCTCATGACAGAGTTATATGCATCAAGGCAAAGCTGATAACTTTAGGGCCATGCTGCGCTGCTTGGAGATGCATGTCACCCTACCTTGCCATACCAAGCACAAGGTGCAGCTATGGCAGTGGAAGACGGGGGAGTGCTGGGGTCCTTACTCGGCATGTATAACAAAAGCAAGCTGGAGTCGATACCAAAGGCACTACCACAGAACGCAACCATCCCTGCCGTCCTCTCCTTATACGAAAAGTTGCGAAAGCAACGCACGACGGTGAATGTGCAAGGGGCGGTTAGAAATCGATGGTTCTATCATCTCCCAGATGGCGAGGAGCAAAGAGCACGCGACGCAGAGATGGCCAACTACGATTTCGTCGATGGAAGGTCTTCCTATTCCTGGCTGGACAGCAAATACAACATGAACCTGCTGGGATTTGACGCATTGGAAGATGCACGCAAGGCTTACCTCACCTGGCTGGACGAACTCGACAGCCCTCTCTCGACACTGTTGCATGATAACAGCGGTCGAGCCACCGTTGAGGCGTCAATGTTGGCACAGAAAGCCGCTGCTGCATGAGAGTATCTCGTTTAGTTTCCTGTTCTTGAGATCGAGTGAACGGAATGGCTAGAAACCCCGTATATTATGTTTAACTGATTGATCGAGCTTGCGGATATGCATTCTTGTGTATCATTATGGGCTGAGGCCTGACCTCGCGTTTGGAAAGAAATCGGACATCCGCTACATATCTATGGCCTTCCCATTCGCATATTTCTTTGCTGTGACAGAACCCCCGATGACTACGCCGTCAGGGCGTCGGGTGCCGGTTCCCTGTGTCATTTTAACTCATTATAATGCCTGCTCAGGCAGACCCCTGTTAAAATTCCCATTATTGTTGGGGGACTCACCGGTTGTTGACCACGGCTCACACCCTTCAACAATATGGACATCAACAAACCCATCGAACTCATTCACGACCTTCTGAAATGGCTTTGGCTCCATCCCGTCAACGAAGCTCGTGTAATTGTCTGAAAGAGGAATGGCTGCGCTTGTGCCGCCAAGACAAGAATTTCCCAGCAATTTGAACTCCATCCCTCAGCGAAAGCGCTGTCGAAAATTTCTAGTGTATAGCTTGGGATCTAGGTCACGACGTGTCTTCAATGGAAGGCTTGTTGGGACTACTTTGTAATCTGTGAGTGCTCTGATGACAACATCATCCTTCTCCAACTATCTCTAAAATTCTCTAGCTCTCTGAGCGACGGCGATCTTTCGGAGTTTTATCACTTCCGAATTGATGGATTGCCTCAGACCTTCGGTCATGTTTCGCCACGCACCAGGCAAGACTGGTTCTGGGATCCTTGTTTCTGGACTATTTGCGACTCTGACCGATCCTTAACATTACATGGCGATTCTGTGGGAACCAGGGACACAAATATAAAACGAACGCTTGCTTCACAGCAAAACATGAAATGCGTTGATATAAGCTTATTAACAGGAGAAACCTTTCCAGTCTACGGACTGGACAAACAGATCCTAGTCAGCATTCCACGTGCCGCAGCACCAAACTTTGGGATACTTGCGTATGGAGTGCAACTTATCGCCTACCAGCTTGGTGAAGCTGAGCCTATACCAGATTTGAGAAATCTTAAAATGTGGCTTTCACGACGTTCCCAGAGCAAGGAATATTTCCCCGGGTTCTTGGACGTCACCGCAAGTGGCGCTCTTACAGCTGGAGAGCTTCCTATGGAAGGTATCTTACGTGAATCTTTGGAAGAGGCATCTCTGCCTAAAGAATGGCTTTGCGACGAGATTAAATCCATGGGCGCTTTAAGCTACGTGGGCAAGAGTGAAAGCTATGGGTCTGATGACCTAGGCTTCGCCTTACCCGAGATTGATTTTTGCTACTGCGTTAGACTGCCTTCGACGCTTGTCCCGACACCTATGGACGGCGAGGTGGCTTATTTTGAACTCTTGTCGGCACCAGAGGTGTTGGACAAGTTGATGCAACGCCAATGCTCCCCAGCTGCGACGTTCGTCTTGATCGACTTTCTCATCAAACTAGGATTTATCAGCTGTGACAATGAGCCCAACTTTGTTGAGATAGTCAGGCGCTTGCATCATAAGTTACCGTACCCGACTCTGTGAACATATTGCAGGTATCACTCCTTTTACAGCTTCTTGAGATCAGACTAGCAGTGTAGGAAGGTCTCGGAAAGCCTGTTTTGCTGCCGCGGTCGCTGAACGAAAGAACCGTATGTCCTATAGCAAAGTCGGTCAGATGTAAAATCAGGAGGTGTCGACACATTTGGTATGCCCATTCTTGATCCTTGATTCACTCTTTCACTTCTCCGCGTTCTTTTAAACAGACAGCTGATTCCATAATTATGCAAAGGCGACCGTATTATGGGTTTTTCTAACACAGCTGACTATTTCTGCTAAATTGCAGGCCAGAATTGGGCTCAGTTCAAATGCCAGACCTCGAGTAGTCGTATGTTGGTCCTGTGTAGCTATTCGGCTCGGCCCCGTGGTGTTTATTATAAGGCCGGCTGAATAACTAGGACATGTAGACTGCGGGAAGATGACGGTAGAGGCATTCGCTGCTGTGCTCGAAGAGTCAAACAGATTTGGAAAAGTCTGATGGAATATTCTCCAACTTTGGGTCTCTTCACTCTAGTCGTACTTTCACCGGGTTCCTTGCAAGTGTAAGACCCTGCCATGCGAGATATGGTATCCACAGCCAGGTCTATCATGCTCGCTTAGCAAAATGGTTGTGAAGTTCTACTTAGTACACGGCGTGAAATGAAGTATTCGACAGGGACATGCCGATGACCCAAAGACGGCATATGACCTAGACGTTGACATCGGCCGGGCCTTCTGTTTCCAGAAGCTGAAGTCGGTTTATTAGAGTGAAATTGCTATCTCGCCTCAACACCGTCCCGGGGTGGGTCTGAAGTGGGCCAAGATACCGTCCCCAGCACGTTCCCCCCAAATGTTTTTCAACGACAAGACCGACTTCGTGGCCGGGGCCCCGCATCACAAACCATTTTAAAGCCAGGGATATAAAACTCGACATATCGTAAGGAGTTCATTGGTGATGTTGCCTTGTTATATTTTTGTATACGGAGACCCGAAGAAGAAAAAGAAAGAAACCTAATGGCGGATAAATCAGATACCCTGGAGACGCAAATCTCCAATGCTCCCACTGGAGAGCAAATTGAGAAATCAGTCACTGTCGATACAGTGCACCAAGACCAAGCGGTCGAGGTCCTCTACAACTATCAGGGCGAACAAACATGG